ACACTTAATTTGGTAGTGCAAACACTGTATGGAGAAGATCAATAGAGTTGCATCAGTCCTGCAGACGCACAGAAATATTTATGTCTTATCAGAATTGAAAGACTTTCTCATTCTCATTGATTACTTATCTGCTACGAGGACCAGGCTTCTTTCCAATTAACATGTTTGAGTGACTCCTCCACTGTATATATTGATTATTTTATTAGAGCCCCTGCTTGCTTGTTTTTTAAATTATTTTACCATGAATACATACTCACATATTGACATGTGATTCCAAAGCTGTGTTGTGACACTATAAATAATGAGGGCCTGTCAGAGAGAAGAAATTATGATAATGATTAGAAAAGTCATTAGTGGTTAGTTGGTAATTGCATGATCCTAACAGTCTATTGATGAAGCGCTTTAAAGCTAATTGTCATGTGCCAACTTTAACAAATACATAATGTCAAAAACACATTATTTTAAACAGTAACTTAGAGCACATGAAAATAAGTGTCCAAGCTATTTTTGAAGCGTATGTACACCTCGTGATCATTGATTGCGTTGGGCAAAATAAGACACGAAAAATATTTTGACATCATTAAATATACCTCAATAAATATATAGTTTTGTGCAATGGTCTGCTCTGTTTATATAGAATCTTTACAAACTCTATTTCTTTGTTACACTCAATTACAGTTACCCTCTGTCTGAAACCAGAGCCCAGTCGGCTCTGTTGTGATTGGTCAACGGCTTAGAGATGTCCCGCCCCATAGCCTATAATGTGCTATATGTTGCAGCACTAGCCAATAGAAGCGCAAGTGTTACAACGTGATATCACTATGTTCAGGAAGTAAACAAAGGAGTACTATATGGAGGTGTTTCAGGCAGGGGGGGGAGGAGTGTGTGGGAGAGAAACCTCTCTGGAGGGAACAATGGGATTTTAGCCTTTTTAGACCGTTTACATGCACACAAACACACTACAGCGAAGAGAAAACCCCAAAAGCATATAAGGCCTCTTTCACAAAGATAAGGACAAAACTGCTCCAAAAAATCATCATGACAACGAGTAACTTAAATGCAATCGCACGTTTTTTCTGAGTGAAATCGTCAATGAAACGTGTATGATCAGTAGAAAAGCATGTAGAGCCCCCCCAACTGTGTAAAATACAGTGTTTCACCACACTCCACCTCACAAATGGATATCATAATAATATATTGATTCAAAAACATTGCATGGTTCCAGCTTTGAGGCCTGACCTCCAGCGTGTGCGAGTGCATTAGTGAGTAGAAATGTGAAGGTGTGTGTGGGCGAGGGACGCAGAGTGAGAGATAAGAGGCTGCTAGTTGCTCCTGACTGAGAAGATGGACTGTTATGGCCTCATTGATCTAAATCTCTCACAGGGAGCCCTTTCCAATCAATACAGAGAGAAGTAGGCAACAGCACTGCTGCTGTTTTGACCACCGCCCCTGCAATGTCTGCTCTCCATGTCCCTCTTTCTGTGTTTCTCAAAACATTGTTTTCACACTACCCATCTACAATTACCCCTAGACTCTCAAAAAAGCGAATTGTTCTACTTTTGGTTGGCTCTAGTTAGCTGGCATGCTGTGGGAAAACAGCTATTTTGCTCTCTGTAATTATTGGTGTCACATTACTGCGGCTGGTGTAATGCTTCCTGCCATCGCAGCACCTTTACCTGACCTCACCATGCCCACATGCCATCACCGCAGAACAGTGTGTGTGGTGAGAAACAAGTCAAAGGTTAGGGGAAACAATGTTGGTAAGGTACAAAAATAAGTCATAGTTAATTCCTAATTGGAGAAACTGGTCAAAAAGGCCAAATCGGGTCAGTAATAATATATGAAGTAGGACAATACACACATTATAAAGCCACTAGGTCACCTCAGGGTGTGCATGTATATGTGTGTGTGTTGGCATGATGTGGGAAAATACAAAATGATGAGAATGTGTTTTTCTATTATATTTTAAGTGGTAATCTTCATTGGAGAGCTGCATATTGGTGGGTGGGTGTGTGTGTGTGTGTGTGTGTGTGTGTGTGTGTGTGTGTGTGTGTGTGTGTGTGTGTGTGTGTGTTTGAAGGTGAGAGGGGACAGAGAGTCAATGAGAGTGTCAAGGGGACACAACAGCACTGTCATCTCCTGTTAAGAATTCTTTCTCTGTGTAAAGACACTGGTGAATTGAGAACAGTAGCCTGTGTGTGTGTGTGTGTGTGTGTGTGTGTGTGTGTGTGTGTGTGTGTGTGTGTGTGTGTGTGTGTGTGTGTGTGTGTGTGTGTGTGTGTGTGTGTGTGTGTGTGCGGTAGAGGGTGTTTGCTGCTGTTTTGTCTCACCTTGCGTCGCAGGTAGGATGTGGGAATGAGATAGTGGCTCTCAGGGGGGCAGCCGACAAGCAGATGGAGAATAAATCAATAAGGAAGTAGCAAAGCAAGAAAATGAGGGGAAAAGACAGAGGGAGGGAAAACAATTTGGTTGCCACAGAGGACAGGGGAGCTCGGTAAATCCCTGTTGTCTTTGCGGTCATACTAGACCCCATAGCAGAGTAATGTACCTCAATTTTAAGGACAAACGGTCGCTTTATTACAGATAACTCAACACCTGTTAAAGCAGCAGGTCAGCACAGTCACACTTTGAAAGCCACAAGTGGCAAGAGATAACTTTTAAATCTCTGTGGATTAAAGGAATTTAAGTGACAAGGACAACCTTAATTTAATTATTTGTCCTTTGGAAAGTATCACTCAGAAATTAAAGTCACACTCTTCAGTTTATGGAACCACACAGTAGCTCTTCTTGTCTTTAATGTTGTCCTGGCTCTGACTTTCTGCTCTGTACTGACGCAACTGATTCTGTTACTCCGTCAATTACAAGTCATAAAATAGCCGGAACAACGATAAACTTTATCGTCAGATACTTCCGTTAAAGCAGGGCTTAGTATGTATAGATGACTTAATGTATAATCTAGTTATTTTGCTATGTCTTGAATCACGATTAAAACAATTTGACCGATATACCAGCATACTATATATTAGCTCTGCTCCATACATTTTGATAGATACAAAAAAATCAATCCCTTGCGAGTCCTCCAACTTTATTGTTGTTAAATTAATGGAGCCCTTTATGCTTACAATACATTAATTACATTAACTTGGGTAAGGAGGATGCTCATTCCTTTGTCTTGTTCCCTTCTGTTAATGTTCTTTGGCATGAGAAGATGCTTATTTCATTGAAATGTGGAATTGTTCAATGTCAATTAAATGACTTGACACATCGGGTATAGACCTATTTCTGATGAGCTTGTTAAACTTTGTTAGAGTTCCAACAGAGCATGGGCTGTACAAAAAATGGTGTGGGCCCGAGACATATCCATATAGATTTTTGATTACTTGTGAAAGCTGTTGGTTTGGTTTTGTGAAGTCATCTAGGAATAACCTGCATTGTCTGTAACTTCAAGATTCGTGGGATTACGTGGCATTCCAGTTAGACTGCTTTATTAAAGTTACCAAATTCAGATTACTTTTCAACACTTTTAAATTGCCTTTTTCGGTTTCAAAAACGAAACAAGAAACCAGACCAGTGTGCAGAATGAGCACAGCACGAAGCCATGAACTACAACTCCATCTCAGCGGAGACCTTTGAAGTCTGATGTTCTTTAATGAATCATCTCACTCACATCAGAGCACCCTATTACATTACATTACATTACATTGCATTTAGCTGACGCTTTTATCCAAAGCGACTTACAATAAGTACATTCGACCAGGAAGACACAACCTTGAAGAAAACAGAATCATATAAGTACATCAGGTTTCATAGAGCCAAACATTTCAAGTGCTACTCAACTGGCTGTAGGTAAGCCAGTCCTTTATTAGTATAAAAGTGCTTCGTTAATAGTTCTAACGCTCGAAGTGGAGTCGAAAGAGATGAGTTTTCAGTTTGCGCCGGAAGATGTGCAAGCTATCTGCCGTCCTGATGTCTATTGAATTCCACTCATTCAGGGAGACAGAGAAAGAGTGAGATTGAGAAAGCCAGAGCAAGTGAGCGCTGACCGACCTTTGCGTGAATGTGTGGGAGAAGCATGTAAGAGAGAAAAAGAGGGAATGACACATCACTAGCGTCAAGCACACCATGGAGATCAAGCACAGGATAAGAAAAGAAACATATTTCAACAACTTTATTGAGCATTATCAGCAAATAAGCTCACTTATCCACTTGTATTGCTGCTTATATATGCAGAGATAGAGAGCAGCAAGATTTAATAAAGTGAAAAAGTCCAATTGAATTAAAAATGATTGATTTAGCATTTTAATGTCTGGGAATCAGTGCTACTGTTAGCGGGCTAAGCTAACTAGCTCTAACTTTTCAATAATTTCATGCGGCTAAATTAGTTTTCTAAGCCTGCTAGCTTATTATTGCTTCAATAACATTATAGTTTGTTTGCTTGGACAGAAGTTAGTAGACATTCAAGCTTAATTTAATCTTTGTTTGCATTTCACAAATTGCTAAATTATTTAGCTTTGATGATCTGTCAGCTGAAAGCAAGCCTCACTTTCATAGTTTCTGTGTGTGTCTGAATGTACATTTGTATCTGTTTGTGTGAGTGTTTAACAGATTCAATGCATCCCACTCCTTGAAAGAACATCATAAACTAACAAAAGTGGGCACTGGAGGTGAAACATTACAGACATTGAGTCAGCATTAACAGAGTTATAGGATTCGAAGTGAGGAGCAAGCTTTTATGGTGTTAAAAGCTGCAGTGTGTGTGTGTGTGTGTGTGTGTGTGTGTGTGTGTGACAGTGTGATACATTGACATTGAATATCACAAATAACAAAGTACAGACTTAAAGTGTGTATGTGTGTCTTTACTTTAGGTGCTTGTGTTAGCAGCAGTGTCTTGGCTGCAGTGAGAGAGCATCTGCAAAATGGCAGTCATGAGGCTAATTGTGATAGAGCTAACTCATCACATTGGCACACACACCCTAATGCATTTTTTATTGTCTATGTTGTTTAATATACCTATTTTTATAAATGTGAAAGTAGGCTAGCATTCTCTGATGGTTTTGCTTCACAAAAGGGAACACAAAAGGTTAATTTAGCAGCCATACAATACATAATCTTTAATAAAACTGTGAAGAATTCTGAGCCTGGCTAATACCAAATGATGATTCAACTTTCAGTGTTTTTTGGCCAGGGAGGAGCAGCGTTCAGAGCCACAGGTGCACCGCAGCAGTGCTGAGACACACCAAATCACTTAGCAACCACTTTGCCTTATTACCCAGAATCCACCAGGGTCCTGTTAGTGTATTAGCAGGGTATTCAGCTCTTTTCATTAGTGCCCCTGGCTCATATCGGCTCTCACCTGGGTCACAGATGAAATGTTATTTCTCTCCCAAAAAGGGATGATCGGATTGCATGTGGCGTTTCATGTCTATCCAGTTTGGCTGCTTGCTTTCCAGGCCTTTCTTCCTCTTTCCCCAAAATAAAGCATCATCTCCTTGGCTGTCTCTCTTTGCTACACGGGGAGACATCCTGTTTGTGTTCTCCTTCATGGCAGTATAAAACCCTCCCGCCGATTGTGGTGGCTGAGTCCAGATCAGTCCTGTTCAGCTCCGTTTCATCTGGCGCCTTGAGATCCTCTGAGCTTCGAAATCTGCCTTTTTCCAAAAAGTACAGATAAAAGAACGGAAATGGAGGTTTGAAATGTGGCAGTGCTGGCACTAACAGCTGTGTCAGTTTTGGGTTAAAGCTGCATGATGCAATTTTGCACATTAAAGCCCCAAGCGCAGCAAGGAGATCTGAGTGCTGGATCTCCTTAGTGACAACAAAGAGTGCAAAATAACTTTTTCCTCTTAATGGCTGGGGATGGCAGCCACACCTTTGAGGGTATTGAGAGGACTTCCTGCTATTTTTGTTGAAGTTACTAAGGAGAGATAGGATGCCATCGTTTGTGGTTCATACTTTTTGATATTCCAGGACAATATTACCAACTCAGTTTTTGTTTCCTAGCAGCTAATTGTCCGATCCAGCTCTCAGTCCACTGAATAGTGTGTGTTTGGTTCCAATGCCCACAGTGTGCAAGGGTCTTCTAACAAACTCTGCTGCTGCTCCTCGATACCCCGGGCAAACAGCCTGATCAACTGGGGCTGGACACTGCAGAGGGGAAAAAAGAGTGTACACACACATGAACACACACATGCAAAACGCATAATTTAGCCCAAATAACAAACCATTAATTTAATGACTGTGCTAATTTCAATGAGACTTTACTGTCCACGTGGCAGATGTAAAAGCAAGGAAATGGCCCCCCTGTGTGCAGACTTGACAAGCCAACTTGAAAGTTAGGAAATCGTTGTGGTGTGTTAAGTATAACTACCTTTAAAGAGCGACCTAAAGCAGATGTTGGAATACAGATGGGGCTGACAAAGTATAATGACACAATAATAACACGTCCTGACGCATACGAGGTAAAAGTTTACGGGCAGAGAAATAAGCTGTAAACAGGCAAGATGGCTTTTATGGTACAGTAAATATTGCCTTAATTATGGCTTTTGCTTTTGTCTGAGAAATGACACCTTTATTTTGACTGGATCACCTGTTGTTTACTTGCAGGCTTCACTGATAGTTATAATGTTGGAACAGCGCAGTATATCACAATTTTTAACTCAACATGGAGTTTTTTTTCTCCAAAGAACGTGAATAATAAATCCCAAAAGTTTAATAAAATATATAAAATAACTCCAAAATCAAGAATGCACAATTTTTTATTATTACATTATTTCATGATTTTTATTTTCAGTTGTTTGGTTCAGTCATTGTGGCAACTTCGATTTAAAAAATTGTATTTCTGACTTTCAAAGCAAAATTATTTCTTTCTTGCCGTTTCGCCTGGGCTGTTACCATTAATTATCCGCATAGCACTCTGGCTGGCTCACTCCAAGAACGATTAGCCGAGAGGAAGAGACAATAAAGGACGGACTTCTGCTTTAATTAAAGGGGAGTAGCCTTTTAACATGGGGAGGGCCGTTAAATTGGCAACATTACAGCGCCATGCATCATTGGCAAAGTACAATGGAGCGTGAAATAAATGATGCCTCCAGCCGTGCCACGCTGGCTGTGTAGAGATCTGATAGTGGGGAAGGCTGAAGTGTGGACAGAGCCAGAATAATAAGGGAGGCTAATTCCATCGAGTTGCCAAGATCGTCCAGCAGGGAACAGTGAAATAGTCTCCTTACCACAGACTGTTGGACACTTGCAGCGCTAATGGCACTGCTGCTCTCATTTCTGTCTGGCCAAGTAGAAGAACTTCCTTATCACCAGCTATCAGGATGACTTACATTTCCTCAATTTTGACTTTTAAAGGACATATTGTTATGGTGTTACAGAACAACAATGCCAGATCCCTCTTCTTGATCTATCTAAAGTTTGGAACATGTGTTTATTTGCTTAATTTAAAAAAGTATTAATATAACTCTTAGTTTAGCATAAAGACTTGAAACTCTTAAGCTAACTTATTATCATCTTGTTTGTTTAATCAACAACAACAAAGTTTACACACACCAATCTGTCATTTATGGAGTTAAATTATTTATTGGCCTGGAAGTTACTTCTTGAAGTCCCTTCTTGTTGCCTGACTGACGTTTTAATTTATTAAACATTTCTGTCTAAATTATTTGTAACTTTGTTCGGTTGCACCTCAGCACAACATGTAGGAACAATGTGCTTGAAATAAGTACCACAGGTTTTTTGGAGTTGACTTGTACATTGTACACGAGGTGATTCGGTGATTAGTTACCTGACACGGATGGCAGCGTGAGGTAGAATCTCCCCGTCGCAGTTCCAGCTGCTGTGGGAGTCCTGGTAGTTGTAGTTTGTTTGAGCAGAGCATATGGGCCTGAAGCCCGTCTTCTTTGGAGTCTCAGTCAGGTCTTCTAGAGAATGCATCTCATTTTGCTGTGGCTGGAAATTAAACCTCCTCACCCGGTGGACCTCTACAAACGAGTGGTCAAACTAGGGAAGGAAGCAGAGGAAGGAGAGATGAATGGATGAGGGAACAGATGTGCCCACAGATCGTTCAAAGGTTAATACCGCCTCTCTCCGGAAGCACTTGAAGAGTTTTATCTCAAACTGCAGCAAGGGAAGGAACACAAGAGTCCATCTTGTTTTATGCTTCACCAAATTATATTTTGTGTCAAATTGTTGTTGAGTCAATGCATTTAGAGTGTTTTTTTTTTAGATACACTTTGACATGCATCCTTCATCCAGAGAGTCACAAGGAAATATCAACCATCATACAGAACTCAATAACAGACAGTGATGGCACTACTTATATTCTAAATGTATTGTATTTACTTGCACTATTTTATCTGTTTTATTGTGTTACACTGTTGGAGGAGCCTAGGACCTAAGATTTCATCGACATAACTACACTGTAGCTATGTACGAATGACAATAAAAGCCTTGAACCTTGAATCTTGATTAAAGACACTTACTGTCTATTCTCAAAGTAGCTTTTCAGAAAAGTGGACTTGATAGATTAAGGTCAAAGAAGTGGTTATATTATATATAATCAACATACTGCTTGTGATGAAATTCTAGAAGCAAAGAACCGGAGCAGATCGGAGAGCTTGAACTGATGTCAGAGATTGAAGGTGTATTACGTTACTGATGGAGAATTGACATAGACATATGCTGAGGAACCGTAGTGAGACAGCCTCTGCCCAACCAGCTCACTTCTTAATATCTAATGGCTATTCTTGGCATGTGCATCTTACCTTAACTAACCCTTTTGATTATAGGCTCATCGTGGTTGAGGTAAAAAAGTTAATTTAATCTCCATTGTCTTTTCATTGACTCCTGCTGCTTTTATAATGAAAAAGCAAAAGGGCATTAAGGTTTGTCCTTCTTTCTCTCCATTTCCAATAAAAGAAAATGGCCAACAAGAGATCAAATGCAAACTGTTGAAAGGGACAAAGGAGGTTAGATGAAATGGAGGTGCATAACAACTATAGAGAAGTGAGGGTAAGAAATTATTTTGTCAAAATCCCCTTTCATCTCACTCAATGTCGCAGAAAGGTTCATCTCTGTCCAGCGCACTTTCTTCTTCACGGGGTGCCACTTTCCCTCTATTCCCTTCCCTTTCCTCTTCTCCTTTTTCTTCCTTCTCCCCTCATTCTTGCTCTTTCTCACCCTCTCATCCCGAAAGCAGAGTGACAGCCATTTATTTCACATCAGACCCACTTTATGACTGCAACCGCTTTGTATTCATGCTGGACGGTCTGCCTAGAAGGCTTTCTGACAAGGCCATGAATACGTTAGACTAGAGCGATGCGATAGGAGAGATTAGAGCGAAGCGAATATTCGCATCGCGTCCGGTGTGAACGCAGCATTTCTCTCCGCTTGGCTGGACAGTGATGCTGATATTAACTGAACTTTGATGCAAAGTCCCACTATCCGTACTCATACGACTACTTGTCTACCTTTCTGTTTCGCAAGTGAAGCAGCAGAGACAGACTCAAGCTAGAAACCAATACCACTGAGGTGGTCATTTACGAGATATAATTAGTTTTTCACCATGAGAGAGGTCTGACATATGAATGACAAAAAGTAAAATACGGTAAAGAGCAACTTAAGGCGACCCAGAAGTGTACCCAGTTTTTTTATTGGGGAAACGAGCCAATCTCTTTGAGAAGCATTGTTGGATATCATGGGGGATCGACCAGCGACATGAATCATTTCGTTTTCATAAAGTTAGATGTATTTTACCTGTAGGCTATGTGAAATTTAAAGTCATACTAGATTACCTAGAAACTAGCCAAACATCTGACAAAGAAAGTGCTGCTTGGAACAATTTTTAGGGTTGCTAACTTGCTTACTTACACAAGGCTAGCTAATGAACAAGCTAATTGCTGACCACGGGGAAACAAAAACGAACAATTGACCAAAGTCTTCTAAAAGGGAGTAACCATAAACTTAGCTAGCAGCGCTACAATGCTAACATTTGCATAATAAACTGCGAACGTTCTCATTTATTTTTTGAAAATGTTTACAATGTTCACCTCAGTTTAGCATGTTAGCATGCTTAGCATGTTTAGCATGTTAGCATGCTAAACCCAGATATGTGATTCAACTTGTGTCTGACAGTAGATAGTTAGGCTTCAGAAATAGCTTGTATTATCTAACACATACAGTAAAAAGAGCCATTACAGTGCAAATACACAGATACAGCTTGCTCCCCATGTCCCACCCACACAGGCCCTCAGCTGTACAAGAAGGAATTGGTAACAATGACCCAGATAATACATCTATTAACTCAGTAATGAGAGCAAGCAGTTTGTCTTCAATAATGCACAAATTAAAATATAAACAGGGTAAATTAAGATGAGAAAATAAAGATTCTCAGTATTGGATTTTAATATATTGCGAACATTCTCGGTCATAAAATCATCTTTAGGGCTCTCTGAATTAGCATCACCAGGGAGTGTTGTTAATTCCATTTTGCTCACATAATTTCATTCAGTCATCTGGATGTAGTATATTTGAATGGGGTCGTGATATTCCAGGGGCACGCTTCATGTCACAGAGATCATTCCTCGAGTTGCAACATTTCCCTGTAGAAACAGACTTTCCTTTATTTCCTTAATTTTTCTTGGTATTTTCTACCACAGGATCGTTTACATGTTGCAAATACATAACATAGCATTAACATATTTTGCAAGACTAATATGAGTCGTGGTAATGTGCAAATTGGATGCACAAGTCAAGATGTGGATGTAAACTCAGCGTAGGATGTAACCGTTAGCTCCAAACAGTCTGTGAAGTGAACAGTAAAACAGCTACTGCAAGGCAAGGCAAGGCAAGGCAAGGCAAGTTTATTTATATAGCACTTTTCAACACAAGGCAATTCAAAGTGCTTGTGAAATTACTGCAGGTGAAATTACTTACAAGATGCTTCTAAATGGGATAAACTTCCTAAGGCCCTTCCTGAGGTAATAATTACTAATCAACAGACTTCCCCTGGCAATACTTGTGCTATCCTAAGAGGGCATTAGTCTGGTATCAGCCTGTTCTTCCCTACAGCATAACCCTGATGCAGCGATTACCGGTGCCTCCCCGGACCAGGGTGGAGGTTATTTATGATACGTGGGAAGGCACTCGGGCTAAGGCATTTGAACTAAAGTGAACCACAGTTGGGAAATTGAGCCGAGTCAGCAAAAGGAGGTGCTAGCACAGCAAGTGGGCAAACTCCTGCCTTCTGCTCGCTCTTCTACAGATTTAACTCACTCTCAATTCATCTGTGCACGGAGCGAGCAACTCCTGACGGCAGGAAAGTGTTCTGCACCAAAGTGATTGACAGGAAGAATAAAACGGTTTAAAAGTGTAGCTGTATTACAGAGACTGTACTCTTTGAAGGTCACCTATTATACAAAATCTACTTTTCCACGTCTTGTATACATAAACATGTGTCCCCCCTGTGTAAAAAAATTCTGAAAGCTTCAGGAAAAAAGATTCTCTCACTTTTTGTCCTGATCCATTTATATAAAAACCTGATTTTGGCCACTTTATGATGTCATAACGATGTGTTAGCTTGTGTAACCATTAGCCAATCACCAACCAAGTTAACACCCCCCCCCACCGTATCACCTGAATCTCCTCCTAGAGCACCATTGTGTTCTTTTCAACCAAATATCTCTCAGTGGGGCTTGGGGAGGGGCTCCTTATTTTCATCTAAAGTAACAGACAGAGAATCAGCTCTTTTGAAACAGGGCTGAAACAGAGGGGGTTATGGGATGCTGCAATGATCTGTTTGGTATTTCGAGCCAAACACTTCAGAGACATGTTTTGTATATATATCTGAGACCTATAATATATTGATGAAAAACAGTATAATAGGGACCGGTTTTCTTAACTTACTTTAGAGGTATGATTATGAATTCATGAATTAAATAGTGCTTTGCAGTTAAATGATACAGCTTGATACCTGGTCTTCTTTGTTGGTGTGTCGAAGGAGATGCGTGAGGAAGTCCAGACGGGAGCACTTCCTGACCAGGATGAGGTCTGTGGTGCCGTCAGCCAGGTGGGCAGAGGGCGACAGACCCTTTGGACTGCGGGGACACGCGCAGCTCATACTGGCCGCATTTATTGCAATGAACTTTCCACGGATAGTCCTCCAACCACCAACTGAAACAGAGGAGTCAAGAGTTGGAGCAGGACCACGTATACAGTTCATTTAGCTGTGATTGCTTCTGTTCGACTTACAAGACTCCTTTGTTTCTATACCTTCTATCCAAAGTTTCCATATTTAATATTTTTCATATTTCATTGTATGCCACTGCAATGCAGAAAAACACTTAGTTGTATAGTAGTCAAGATTTTTTATAACTTTTAGACTTTTTTCGCAATGTTAAAACCCCTCCATCTGATATTGAAACTTTTAAATGAACAGACTTTGAGCTGCAGTGAATACACTAAACAGTGATTTATTTATTTATTACCAAGCAGTTTCGCAGCGTTTGCAAACATGCCACATCAGATTTAGCTTGAAGTATTGTGTCAGCTTTCAGCTACTTACTTCTACAAATTCGATACAAAATAATCCAAACCTTTGGATTCCTTTCAAACTCCAGTTAGTATTTTCCAGAAGTGCTGATGTTAGACTGACACAAATAATCTATGCACCATCAGGTATTGGGTTTCGAAATTACACTGTGTATTTTGCCAGTGCTTTATGAGTCCTTAAGGTTAAGTGCTCACTGTGTTACACATCAGCACTGATGCTTATCAGAGTCCATTAGGACCCAGATGTCTTGGCGGGAATTCTCAGAGCAGCTGATGATTGAGCCAATATAGGAACTCTGATGCTGAAAGTAAATAGTGTTATTGCCCTTGTAGGAGAGCTGAATGTCTTGTGTTTCAAAATGCAATTAATTTTAGCCAAGCAAGGCTTCGCAATATCTAAAGAGGAAGTGATATGGATAGCAGAGTGATTGGATTAACCTTGAGTTTGCTTGTTGCAATTAAATGCACACGTGGCCTCCGAGTCTTTAAAAGACAGACGTGTCGGTTTCACTTCACAAATCACAGCTCTGTTCCCCCGAGATTAGCGACTGTTTGCGATGGTGGCGTATCAAAGAAGCAGCATCACCCTCTGGGGCTGCCAGTGCCTGTCACCGGGGTGATAGTCACTGGAGTAAGCTGCGAAAAAGTGATCACAGACGTCCAAACCTCGGAGGGAAAATTATGTGATCTGGGAAAGCAAAACGATTAATTACCTTTCTCCCTCATTTCGCAAAGCAAATTTACAGAGGTGATAACGCAAACCGACGATAACAAGCCCGCTGAGGCTACATAAAAACAACAATATTCTAATTGGGAAGCAGTGATTAAAGCTGGAATAAAAAAAAACTCGACTGTAGGCACTGCATAAGAAGATTTTTTTTCCAAATGAGTATTTGCTTTCGGAGGAGAGGCTGGCTCATTTGCACAGAGCGAGTGTGCCGTGCCTCATTGATTTAGCAGTGGTCTGAGATTCCATCGCCAGAAAAAAGATTAGAAAAAATAAAAGATCCCAAAGCAAACGGCAGCACTGGCATGAGACAAACCCCCTGTCAGAGCTGGCAAAACTACATTTCTTACTAATTAGTAAAAGTCTGTCACACCTCACAAACAAACAGGTTGTGTTCCCCTTTTCATTTACACAGGAAAAACACACAAACCATAGGAAGACTCAAATAGCCAAGAAAGAAAATGACAAATTTAGTATCATGACACTTATTAGAGAGGAAAAAACGTCTACAAATTACTTTCTGTATTTCATATGCCTCCAGGGATTTGTTCAGCAGTGTCAGTGGGTTGAGAGAACCATAGATTATTAAATGTGTGTATTTTTGTGACGGTCAGGGAGACAGACGAGGGAACAGGAGGTGACGTCCTACTCGAGGCTGAGTGGACAGACACCACCCTGTCAGAGAACATGTAATTTCATCAAGTAGAGGCAAGGGTGGATGCGGGAGATTTGGAAATCGATAGTCGAAAAAAATAAAAAAGGCTCCATTGTTGGGGCACGGCAGGGAGTTGTGCAGTGTCACTAAAATCAGTTTATATTTTCGCGTCAATAACTCATCAAGAATCTCATCAGGTATTCTGCCGTGATGCGGGAGAATAACAACCACAACTAAAAAAGAAAGAAAATTAGATTTTTGAGAAGATGATTATTTAAAGTCTCAGGTATTGCAGAATATAAATGTAAAGGGAGAAGAAAGACAGCGTGGGGTTTCCACATGTCTCAGAAGTTTAGAAATAGACGAACAAGCAGATAATGAGGCAGAGACAAGAGAAATTCATTTTTCCGTATGATTACTTTGACATATTTTGTGTGATAACCCCAAAGTCGTACCTTTATCAGACATTTCCTTCTCCTCTGACATCTCCCACTGCGTGTCCTTTGATGAGGGCTTATGCTGACAGACGCTGCACCTAAAATATCAGCATAACCTTGTTTTATCATGATCAAACCATCAGTGTTTGCAACTGACATTCAAGGTTTTAACGAGCTAAGATGACTCATTATGAGGGAATAAATGTATTCCATCTTAACAGGGTCCACCTTAGGTTAAGCTATTTATATTTAAGTCACTTTTGTAGGAAATCCTCAAAGAAGTCTGCTGCCAGAAACGCCTTATGTCGCATAATTATATGTTTTTATGGTAAAATAGATGTCAGGAAACATGGAGTCTTACAGATGAATGGTTTTTGGACTCCATAACAAATGCAAACATTACCTTTTTCTGAAAATACCAAATGTGCTTTCAGTCTATAACACATCAGATACTGTAGTCTTCCTGACAATATAAAGTATCCCATTTAAGCTCTGGCAGGTGCACCGCTGCTATTGAAGAGCATCAGATAAGTAAGCATATTGAAAAGCTATAGAATTGGATATCTGTGATGCTGTGTTTACCCGGATCGACACTGCAGCTTGTCTCTGGGATCCCCCATGTTGTTCTCAGCGGGGAGGAAAGAGATGGAGCCTTCATAGTAGTTGTGACTCAGAAAGGTTTTCACGCCTGGAACAAAACAACAAAGTGTGGGCAACAGAACACATGTCAATTTAAGTATAAATGCTCCTTTTCTATATATAAACGAACCTGTCCATGCACAGGCAAATGAACTTTTAAATAGGTGATATCTAAAGACCATACAGGTTTATTTTTCAACAAGCAGTTTTTAATGCACACGTTAACAACTTGTTATACACTCATCTGTGCCGTTGGACCCAGTTTAGTTTAGCTGTTTCATAACTTCAATCATAAACTTGCTGCCTCTGTTTAAAGCCCCTTCCAGTACAATGTGTGCAAGTATTTAAGTGCGGACGCAGTGGGAAGATGAATCTTGCCGATGTTAGTGAGTCCCACTACGGAGCTACACTTGCACTGAATCCACAAAGGCAGAGTCTGTGTGTTAGATTTATATTTTTAATCCTCCAAAGTCTGGACCGAAGGCAGGAAGAGCCAACTCAGGGATAAACTCCAGTTAAAAAGGCCTAGCTTGTAGATTTACCCAGGGTTATAAAAATGACGGCCCTTATACCTGACAGGTCATATCTAGCGGGACCCATCCATCTCTTCCTTTCGCTGTCTTTCAGTACATCACCATAGAAACCGTATCCAAGCAACGAGACAGAGTATCTGAGAAAGCTGTCGTTGTGGTGAACTGAGCACACGTCCATCGGCTGGGAATCACCTGCGAAGAGATATTGAGTAAAGTGTTAAAAAAGCCAAACAGTTGTTTGTGGCTTCCTACACAACACTGACAACATGTTGGGAAAATGTACACAGCACGCCACCCTGACACATAGCGTGCTGTAAGTCATGTAAGTGTTTTCCAAATACTGGTATGCACTCACCCACAATGATGTGTAAAGCAGAAGTAACTGGATCGTTGGTTCCCACTGTGGCAAAGCAGATACAATCAGTGGACCCTGTTGGATAGGAGACACACAGGTCAATAGTCAGCCATTATAGCCCGGGTATTGACAAGTTAAATACACTGCAACCTATAAAATGACTACAGTGGCACAGAAACTGTTTTCACCAAAATAAAAAGATATAGCAAACCTCCAATATTTTAAAAAGCAGTGTGTATAGGGGCTTTTTCTCAGCATAAACGGGATGAAATGCTGTGTTCTCACTTCATGGTGTGGAAAAGCTCTACTGGACTCTCTCTTTTGGTTTTTCATTACAAATATACATTTTCTTCCCACTGTAGTCATCTAAAACATTTGGAAAGGGAGATGTATTCACTTGTTTGCAATCTCTAACCCTAACTTATACTACAACTAGCAACAACTTGGCTTCTTGATGCTAAGAGGGCCTGGCATTTTCAGTGGTAGAAAGTTACTAAAGTTAGCATTTAGCGAAGCTCTTATTTCTGCAGGCTGTATGTAAAGTAAAATGCTCAAAGTGATTATGCTAACATGCAGGTATAATGTCTTAGAATAGCTTGCTACTGTAGCTGGCTAACATTAGCTTATTAGCAGCACTGAACATAAAGTTAGCCATGGAGTGCCACAGGGCTCAGTGCTCGGACCTATTTTGTTCACATTATATATGCTTCCGTTAGGCAATATTATAAGAAATCATTCTGTAAACTTTCATTGTTATGCGGATGATACTCAACTATATTTATCAATCAAGCCTGATGAAATTAATCATCTAAATAAAATTCAAGACTGCCTTAAGGACTTAAAAACGTGGATGACCTTAAACTTTTTGATGTTAAACACGACCAAAACTGAAGTTATTGTACTTGGCCCGAAGAATCTACGAAACAAATTATCTAAAGATATACTAACTATGGATGGCATTAATTTGGCCTCCAGTGAGACTGTAAGGAATCTTGGTGTTATATTTGATCAGGATTTATCCTTTAACGCCCACATAAAATCAATTTCAAGGACCGCCTACTTCCATCTACGTAACATTGCAAAAATCAGGCATATCTTGCCTCAAAACGATGCAGAGAAACTAGTCCATGCATTTGTTACTTCAAGGCTGGATTATTGTAACTCCTTATTATTAGGGTGTACCAAGAAGTCAGTCAAGTCGCTTCAGCTGATTCAAAATGCTGCGGCTCGTGTACTAACCAGAGTTAGGAAAAGGGACCACATTACTCCTGTTCTGGGTGCCTTACACTGGCTCCCTATAGAACACAGGATAGAATTTAAAATTCTTCTTCTCGCCTACAAAGCCCTTAATGGGCAGGCGCCATCTTACCTTAAATAACTCATTATACCCTACTGTCCTACTAGGGCATTGCGTTCCAAGAATGCAGGGTTGTTGGTTGTTCCTAGAGTCTCTAAAAGTACAATGGGAGCCAGAGCCTTTTCTTATCAAGCTCCACATTTGTGGAATCAGCTTCCAGTTTGTGTTCGGGCGGCAGACACCCTATCCGTTTTTAAGAGTGCGCTTAAGACCTTCCTTTTTGATAAAGCTTATAGTTAGGGCTGATTAGATTCAGCCCCTAGTTTTGCTGATATAGGCTTAGTTTGTCGGGGGACATCTTACTTCTTCCTTCTCTCGGTCTATACCTGTGTACTCTCATGTTCCGATTAACCCAGCTTCCCCAAATGTCTTTCTTTTTGGTGTCTATATACGCCGGGATCCGGAGTCATGGATGATCCTGCGGTCCTGTGTCCTGGTTCGCGAGCCCTGGATCTTGAGTCGTGGCTGTGGTCCTGGATCATAGGTCCTGGATGGATATCCTCGTGGATTCATCTTCCTATTATACACACATGCATTTCCAAACATTTGGACTACCTATGTTGCAAATGTATTATCTTTTCAATTTACACACGGCATCTATTGCACATCTGTCTGTCCTGGGAGAGGGATCCCTCCTCTGTTGCTCTCCCTGAGGTTTCTCCCATTTTTCCCTTTAAACTGTGGGTTTTCTCCGGAAGTTTTTCCTTGTACGATGTGAGGGTCTAAGGACAGGGGGTGTCGTATTGTCATACTGATATTCTGTACACACTGTGAAGTCCACTGAGACAAATGTAACATTTGTGATATTGGGCTATATAAATAAACATTGATTGATTGATTGATTGAAAGTACAGTCGAGGCGTTCTTTTTTTATTTTGTTCATAAGCCAAAGAATTTGATTAATTAAATATGTGAATTGACCAATAAGCAGGCAAATAGATATCGAGACGTTTTATTGCAAACCACAAATATGCTGTAAACCTCATGTAGGGGTTGGACAACATTTCTGCCAATCAGTTAAAAGAAATGTGGACTTTCTTTTTTAACAAGATAAGGACAATTTCCCCTTTTTTAATGAGTGAACCTTTCTTATTTCCTTATTTTTATGCATCAGCAATGGCCAGGAGAAATGACCTAATGCCATTGTCATGCCATACTTTAAAATACTGTTCTTCCGCCATTGCTGCAGACAGGGAGTAAATCACACAATGAAATATAAACGGACCTTACAAAGGGCAGTTTTATGTGTTGATTTCTACAGTTGTGCAACTCTATTAGCATGTAATTATGTTCATCACATACATCTCTTAGTTATATTTAAAATCAATCGTTTTTGGTCGTAAAGTGAACTAATAGGATAGCTCCGGGGGCCCGGGTTATCAGCAGCTCTCCTCAGCCAACAAATTAAGGATAAGAGAAACCCCCTGCCTTGAGAGAATGTTAGATATTACATTTTTCAACTTGAGAGACGGGCTCTATCTCTCTTTTTGCACCACACAGCGTCATTTCAGACCTATCTGCCCCACTTTGATCATCTTCAAGTGGTGAAATGGACCCACTGCTACTGATAAAAGACAGAGAGAGTGAGGCAGAGAGGAGAGGACAGAGTGAAATCTAACTAGTGCTGTTTTGAGCTGGCTCGCAGAAGCGTGACAGGGCAGATCTGGCTCGTCATTCAGCAGTGGACACACTGATGAGTATGAAGATGAGAACTTTCTCGGCCACAGTCTGTGAATGTCCCTTATCTGCCCTTTGCTTCCTTTTTCAGAGATTTATAATCACATCCGAATCCTTTTGAATCCCTCCACACAGCCCTGCTCTGCCTGCTATTTTGCTAGTAAAGAAAACAGTGACATATGTTATTTCACTCTTCTAAAGCTACTCAGTAAAAGCCAACTGACTTTGAATGGGTTTAAGTGGCACACGCAGATGTTCAATGATGTTCAGTAGTCAGTGCTAAGATGTTCAATGTTACATTTCCTTTAAGTCACTCAACCGCATTAGCCTGTTGGCATATTCGGAGGAGAAACTGTCACAAAGCACATCCCCAGCGGAGAAGCTCCACTTTTTATCTGCATCTTCCCCCAAAACTGTCGCGCCAGTAAGATCATGTCGGCAGTGAAATTATCTTCATCTCAAGAACAACAATGGAGTGGAGATGCTTTTAGTGCGGCGCCGAAAAATATGTTTTTGTTGTCTGAATTCTCAGTACATTAATGTATTTATAGCTGCACTAGTGACTGTATCTCATAAGGACAGCAGTAAACACTCCCCGACTTGACAAGTGGACATTAGAACAACAAATAACTTTTGCTTCCTTCAACCGATTTGGGTAAGGATTAACCAGCATTCCTTACACTGCCTTTGGCTCTATGACCCTAGGGGACACCTACATTGCTTTTCCTGATGGCCTTTTTTGTACATTTTGTAAAGGGGGCCAGGGGCAGAGGTCCGAGGGATTCTCCCCGGCCCTTTTTTTTTCTATTTGCCATTAGTCTATTTGATTTTTCTTAATGCACTCTTGCACCTTTTTAAATAAGAAATACGAGGAAGAAACCCCATAAAGTATCACTGCCCTAACACATTACTTCCTGTATAAATCTTTAAATAATGTTATGAACATATACTTTCATTAGAGAGGAACAACAGGTGAAATACCTTACTTATAGAGCTGTGCGCTGTTTTTGTTAGCCTCTTCTGCGGGGATAAAGTATAAATCTTAAAATGTTGTTATAATTGTATACTTTCATTAAGGAAGAATAAAAAGGTTAAATAACGTTCCCCTACAGCTTGACCCTCTAGTTCTTCTGGAGGTGTTCCTTAAAAGTCAGTTACAGTAACTAAACGTTTTTGGGACTATTTTCTCCTGTGGATTAATACATATTTGTTTGTGTAGTGTATATGTCAGCAGGACAGTGTACGGGAGATTGTTTTAAACCAAACTACATCGCCAATGGTCATTTTAATGAAGGGTTATTGTGACAATGTTTATGGCTTATATGATAGAGGCCGTTTCTCAATCTCGAGGAAACTGGCTTCCAAGCCAATATTTCAAGGATGCTACGTCATCGAGTGCCGCCGAAGGACTGTTCCAATCTCCAGCATACTTGGAATTCCACAGAGGCCGCGTCCTTGGTTTGGGGGTCATTTCGAGGCTGCACATGGGTAGGCTTCGCGTCCTTAAAATCCCCACAATGCTTTGCGCACGGACCAATTTCCCCAAATCTGTGGCGGAAAATGTATAGTGGGGCCTCTAATATGACGCACACCTGCACACTTGCTAGCCTGTTCCACTCTTCGTTTTCCGAATGCCAGGAAGGATTCTTGCCTAGCTTCTGAAGCAAGTGACTCGGAAGACATGTGCTACCAAGCAAGCATCCTCGCGATTGAGAAACGGCCACAGTGTGTCACTCTCTCCCCTGGTTTAACTTGTCTCCTCCCACTAGGCACTCATCAGGTGTGCTGTTGAATACAGGTGAGGAAGGGGGGCGTGGCCCTGGGGAAGGGAGAGGGAAATGTTTGTATGGAGTTTGTTGAGAGCCAGAGGAAAGCCTGCCCTGGCAGCGGGTGTTTCTCAATGTCAAGGAAGGATCCTTCAGAGCCACTATTTCAAGGATGCTACATCATCGAATCCCGCCGAAGGACTGTTCCAATGTACAGGATCCTTTAAATTCTACCGAGGACTGAGTCCTTCGTTGCGTGAAATGTAGAGGATGCACATGTGTGTATCCTCGGCGGTCTTAAAAGCCCCACAATGCTTTGCGCACGGCACGGACCAATTTCCCAAATCTTTGCCGGAAAATGGCTGAATCCAGGCAGTACACATTTAAATGTAAGTATGTTCAGTAGCGTAATAAATGTGTACATGACTTGTGTTTAAAGTTTATAGTCCGTTTGAGAACGTGTGTGAACGCAAACCGAACGTGTGTGAACGCAAACCGAACCTTCTGAAAAATGAAACAATGTAACAAACTGTCGTCGGGTGCGCACCAGAGAAGCGGACTATTAGGTTTGAATGAGACCTTAGAGCGCTTTGCACCTAAATAAATCATTAAAGTGAACCTTGTTTTGACTTTGCCTCTTTTCTCGATATTTGTGGTTTATGCTACAATGTGCACCAAGATGTGTAAGAAAGGTTTGCAGACATCAAGTATGATATATGAATACAAATTGTATTATTTATTGGTGATGGTGATTTTATGATTTTCTTATGGCTGCTTATCCTCCAGGACTTTTTCAAGGCTGCAAACAGAAGGAGAACGTTTTATGTTAGTTTAGTGGTTCTGTCCTGGAGAGATGATCATTTTACAAAATACAGTTACTCAAGTACATCTTCGATCTTCGCAAATCAATTATGAGTCTTCAAACAAATCGCGCTCAATTTAAAGCGGGCCGTCTCATATGACGCACACCTGCACACTTGCTAGCCTGTTCCATTCTTAGTTCTCCGAATGCCAGGAAGGATTCTTGCCTAGCCTCTGAAGGACCTGACTCGGAGGGACATGTCCTCCCAAGGAAGCGTTCTCGACATTGAGAAACCCCCAGCTACTAAAGGGAAGAGACTGAGGACCAGAAAGGCGGAGCATGCCAATCCAGAGCTGGAGTTACTCTTTCCCTGCTCGTCTGCCGGTGAGTCGATTCCTTTTTGGATGTTTTTGTTCTTTTTGCAAAGGCCTTGTTTCCCTTGCATTATATTTTAGCTTGTTTGAGTGACATTGGACCTGTTTCTGTTTTTCACTGGATTACTCAGCTACTTTAAGAAGACTCGTTGGACATTGGGAGCTCATTCATGATTTAAAACTTCTCATGCAATTTTATGGATTATTTCTGCTGCTGCTACTGTTAATCTCACAAAGATCAAACATAATGTCAGCTGGTATTTCTGCTAGTGACTGAGTAGAGAACACACACACCTTAAAAATCATTTATTGTGCCCCAGACAATATTTAAACGCCTACGCTATTACCATCAAGCCTCCTATCGGTTTCCATGCACTGTGTTTCTAGCTCAAAATGTCACACAGCACATTTCCATTTATGGCACTTGGACTGATTGACCCCCCGCGGCCTCTGGTGGGACCCCCTGCCACTTCACACAAAAGTATTTTAAGGTATACAATGTCAGAAGACAAATATGAGTGCAATTTGTGACATCAAGTTTATTTGAAGTATGTCATTATGATGGAGAGCGATTTCCTAAATATCGCACTTTGCCGACCATTTACATGCACAAAAACCTATACAACACTACAGGAAAGAGAAACCCCCAACAAGCATAAAGGGACCAATTTAATTCCAAAACACATGTGAATACCATATTCTCCCTTTACCAGAGTTACATTTCTTTAATATGATAAATATTATAACAAATAATTTCCCCCAAAACCGTTCCTCCTGCACTGGATATGGTTTTTAATGATATAATGACAAAAGCTCACCAGCAGGAATGATCCCGATGTGCACAGAACACGGTACCAACTCAGCATCCGGTTGGTTCGGGTCCACGCCGTTGTCTGTTTGGGTCCTGCTGATTAATCCGTGCAGGATCTCACTGAACATCCCATCTCCACCCACACACACCACCCTGGGCAGACAAGTTATATCAGTATACACAAGTTTAACATTAGTTCTGTGACACATTTGCTTTTTTATCATTAGAAAACTACTACTTTGCCAGAAAACCTTGACACTAATAACAGCAGGCTGCGAGTCTAACAGTGAGAAATCATTCAATTAATAGGAAAATCACACTGTGCCACCCAGCATTACACCTATTTTTTTTTTTTTTGTCTTTCCCAAAACCTTACAGAGATGGACCCAGACGTTTTATGAACTGCAGAGAAAAAAGCATAATGGACTCTAACTCTGAGCTCTGCGGGACTGAATATCTGATGGATAGTAGCTGTAGACAGCGGAGTAAAAACCTTTCATGTTATTGATGCACCTAATGTTCAGCTATCAGCTGCAATTTACCCTCGCATACTGCCTTTATTCACAGTCCTGAGCTGCAACATCATGTACAATTGTTAGAAATGGTAAATTATCCTCTACTCATTCCTCTCATGAAGTACCACAGGGATCCGTCCTGGGGGCTTTTCAAATCATAGAATATCTTTAAACAAAGTTTCAGAAATCTCTGTTTAATACAAGCTGTTTTGAATGAACTTAATTGATAACCATGATGCTTAGGATAGATTATATTCACTTAAGATATCCCCTGACTTTTTCCCCAGCACCTCAAGCAGGGAAACATTTCAACTTCTCCTGTGAAATATCTTAACTTCTACTACACAATATTTTACACAGACTATTTATTTTACCCAGATTTCAAATCCTACAGATCCACTCATGATGACATATGTGGTTTTGCAGGAAATGGCTAAAGAATCAATGAATGAAATGCCAATAATGTTGCATTCATGTTACCCACAGCATGGATTGTAATCACATATGTACTTTAACTGTAAAGCCAAAACCAAAGTCAAAATAAAAACATGGCCAACAAGTTTGAAGGAATAAGTCGTAACGAAAGGATGAAAACTGTATCTCTTTGTTACAATGCCAGCATGTTTACTCAAGCTTATAAACCAACTGTTTGCCAAATGATCTACAGTGATATAAGGTTACACAAGGTTACAGAAAACTAACTCTGGAAATGCAAGTCAACATGTGAGATCATCCAAATGAGTGTAGTTGAGACGCACAAATGCACACGGGGCTGTGTATCAGTGATTACAATCTGACACGACAGATTGCAGCACAACAGAGCTTCATTACAAGCTCCTAAAAGGCGATAATTGATACCCAGCTCAAAAGCTTTATTGCAATATGAACAGACAGGAGTCAGCTCCATGTCACAGTGAAGAACCAGTGTTGAAATCAGCCACCTAGCTTGAGTACTCACCCGTCATATTTATCTAGATTGGCCTCCGTTTTCAAGTGGTCCCTGGCATGATTGGCTCGCTCTGTAACTATGGAAACAAATTCAATGTGTTAACCCTTAGATGCATAAGTGGGTATTTTTTGACCCGGTGAGTTGGTTTTCTTGAAGTATCTTTGTAATTATATTTGTGTATCATTTGATATTCCAGCTATTCCTCAAAAAACATGTTTTGGATATCATGCCATTCAAATGTTTACATTTTAAGAAATTGTAGTTTTTGTATTACTACCCCAAGCTTCCATAAGTGGGTCAAAAATGACCCGCATGCATTTCCTATGGAATCCTGTGGGAAAACGTTTTTTTTCAAAATGTAAAAAAAATGTTTAAAATTATAAATAGTGACAAATGTAATATAAAATATTTCTAGTGTGAACCAAAATATAATACTAAATATTATACAAGTGATTTTTCTTAACCAAAATGACATAAAAACACATATTATTCTAATACGGGTCCTTTTTGACCCACTTATGGAAGAGTGTGGGTCCAGTCACTCATGCATCTAAGGGTTAATACAACTTCAATGAAAGGGAAATGTACAGACAAAGTAAGTCGATTTTGTGTGGCCTGACTTGTATCAAAATACCAGACACTGCATTTTTGAAACATGAATTAACTGGATAAGTCACAAAGATACATTTTCAGAAAAAGCAAAGATACAAAGTCACAAAACAGCCCGCAAAATAAGCCTTAGGCCGACAAAAACAACATTACAATCCGTTTTTCAGGCATGTAATATAAACACAAATGCATCTGCAATTCACAGCCGCTGTAGGAAACCCAGGGTGAATAGTATTCAATCTGATGGAGCATCAATACCCAGAGTATGTGAAGCAGTAGCAAACACTTTTTGAATAATAGATGTGTTTGGATACCCTTGCTTATCAACTATCACAGCTTCCATTAAGGCGCTGGCATGATTAATGGCACTAAAAGGCAAATCATATCCTTGGAAGCCTCCTCGGTCCCTTCGAGAGGCCACAGTGGCAGTGGAGATCTATACGGCGGGCATCAAGACAGATTTTTTATTTAAATCTTAGGGAAAGCCAGTGATAGGGACCCACCAATCACGTCGGTTGAGATGCAGGCGCGGCCAAACAGTGGGGCCACCTTCTGCTCGTAAATACGCTTCCCGCGCCGCTTTCCCCCGTACGGATTGATGTACACCAGAAGGCTCTTCGGTCGGTGGGCTGCAAAGTGAGGGAGGGGTGTGAGATATTCATTAAAAAGGCTCAGTGTTTACCTTTTTTACAAATGTGTAACTGACAGCAGCTTGATGTAGTTTTCATTAACCAGACACCTTTCCCAGAATGCTCGGTCAAACTGACTTATCCCCAAAACAAGCCGCTCACAAAATAAATGATGTGTCTACCCACTGTGGGAGGAGTGTGAAGCAATTCAGAGGTGCTGCATCATTCGCTGATAAACCTACAAAGTGCTGCGATGGAGAATACTAAATGGCTTGTTTATGGCCGTTGAAGAAGACTGCGTTGAAGACAACTAACTGAGCTATGGCAGCTGCTCCAATTAATAATGAATCCATTGGGATCAAGAGATAAATGAGCACAAATAAATATAGAGGGCAATATTGTTTGGCAATAAGACAAAAGTTCCATTAGATTACATAAATGGATTGTCAATGGGTGATGTAAAGGTGTACTGTGGAGGAGACTAACACTATTGGACCACACTCAGGCTTCATCAACACAATGAATGTAGGCCTAGTTAATTTCCTTGAATTGATTCATCACAAACAGAGCCAAGTTCGCCAATACAAATGGTTTAAACCATCTTACACTCAATCTCCACATGATAGTTACACACTAAAACCTCTGGTACGCAATTTGTATATTACCTTGTTCCATTAATTAAAAGACAGTTAAATTCCTTACCTCTTCCAAATAATTATGTTTTAAAAATGTGTTAACATATAGGACACTCTTTTAATGTTTGCATAACCACCATTTATATTTCATCAGACTATCGGCTATCGCTATTTTCATTCTTTATGCCTCTGCCTGAGAGGTGCTGTCTAGAAAGAGAAATGCAGGAGGGCAACCTCTATTGAAAGTTTTCCAAAGGGCTCTCCTGTGGGCATTTATACCACTGAAATGAATACAATATTTGTTATGGACGGTAAAACTTAGCTTCCTTACAGGCTGGTTGAGGTGTAGAAGAACTCATTTAGCAATAAGTCTTGTCTTGAATCCTTTAATAAGCATCCTTTGAAGAATTTCAGTGTTTCCAAGGTTTTCCTTGGGCACTACAGTAACTTATGTTACATCCTGTAAGGTGGTGTCTCACTGAAGTAGTCTATAAACCCCTCAGAATAAAGATTGTATTGCATGTCCCTTGTGCACAAAGCTGACAGCTTCTGAAATTGCTTGAGAGATAAAAAGCCTCATCCTCACAGAACACCTGTCATCAATGTCTGACAGTCCAAACTCAGCCGGAAAAACAGCAAGTAGCGATTTCTAAAACCATTAAAAACAATTACTTTTTCCAAATAACGTTACCAATGTGCTAATAGATAAGCTTTTCTTGCAGTTACATTGGCACTTTGGCTCGCTGTAGTGCAGCTTAATGACGTGTGTACTCATCTTTGTAATCTTCCAAGTACACACCAAGCCAAATTCCATTTACGTGGCATTTTTATGGCACGTAGTAAAGTGATTAAGTTCCGAGTACATTACCACATCTGCTAGAGAACACCATTTAACAGTACGTACTGAGTAATGCCAGTTGCTCATTGATAACTTTGATCCACTGCTCGCTGAGTGCCTGGTTGGCAGAGTGGAAAATCACTTCACTGCAGCACCACTGGTGCTGCCTTGTTCTTCTGATATAGGAAACTGTAGAGGAACAAAACAGAAGGAAGATGTGAGAAAAACCAGGCAAAAATATATGCCTTTTTTAAGGGTTGTCAGGGTTGAATGTAAAATGATAGCAATTACCAGAGACATTTCATTTTTCTTTTGGACGTATATTTGTTTTTACTGTGTCTCCTTTTGTTATGTACAGTATGGCTTGTAACCTTACAATAACTTAAGATAGGATAAGATAGGACCTTATTTATCCCGAAGGAAATTGTTGTAGCACAAAAATAGCACAAAAATAGCACATAGCATAATAATAAAACTGTACACTAAAAGTGCAGTAAAACGGGCAATTACATATTTACAGGAAACATAGACGGTCACATAATTGATGTAAATATTAACAGTATTTAGTAGTGCAAAAAAACGTATTGGCAGATACGTAATTGCACGGAGAACATCATTAATAATAATGATATTGCACATGTTGTATAGCAGCAAGTGTTTTGTAATGATGGTAATGATATTTATATTGCACATAGTGTTGGTGTGGAAGTTCTCAGTTCCCTTTACTGAAGGGTGAAGACTAAGAGTTAGACAATGCTATTTAAAGAGAATTTAGGTCTAGTATGCCAATCCATCTGTTGCAGAGATTGATCCGTCAACCTTTCTGTCGGTCCATAACCACTTACCAACACACTATACTTTCAATTTTTTGGATGAAGAATAGAAAAAAGGAGTACCAACAGAAGAAAGATGGTTTCACCAAAACAAGTTCCTGATCTGAAAGCTGTTATACTTTTACATTACATTACATTGCATTTAGCTGACGCTTTTATCCAAAGCGACTTACAATAAGTGCGTTCGTCCAACAAAATACAACTTGAAGAAAACAGAATCATATAAGTACATCAGGTTTCATAGAGCAAAACATTTCAAGTGCTACTCAACTGGCTTTAGGTAAGCCAGTCCTTTATTAGTATAAAAGTGCTTCGTTAATAGTTCTATCGCTCGAAGTGGAGTCGAAAGAGATGAGTTTTCAGTTTGCGCCGGAAGGTGTGTAAGCTATCTGCCATCCTGATGTCAATGGGGAGCTCATTCCACCATCTTGGAGCCAGGATAGCAAACCCACGTGTTTTCGCCGTTGGGAACTTGGGTCCCCCTCGCAGCGAGGGCGCAACGAGTCGTTTGGCTGATGCAGAGCGTAGTGCACGCGCTGGGGTGTACGGTTTAACCATGTCCTGGATGTACGAAGGGCCAGATCCATTTCGCAGCATGGTAAGCAAGTACCAGTGTCTTGAAGTGGATTCTAGCAGTTACCGGAAGCCAGTGAAGCGAGCGTAGGAGCTCGCTACTTCCAGCAGGTGTGTTTACATCAGCAGAGAGCCAACATGCTGTGTTCAGACTAGACTCAGTGCCCTCTGGTTTTGCGATTGTGCAGACCTGGCCAGAGAATGAACCCTAGTTTTATCCTTACAAAACAGGTCAATTTGATGTGTGAGTGAGACATGAAGGAGTCAGTTAAGTTAAATAGGGCTCAGTGGGTATTCAGACAAAAAGTAGAGTCATATAATATCCAGCTAGGAACATTACTGAAATATTTACATTAAGGAGCGGAAAATCACTCGCTAAGCACTTTGGCGGCGAATTCACCCGCTTAGCATTTCAAAGTCAAATTATCACACCAAGCATTCTTTTTATCAGATGGAAAAGTTAACTTTGAGTACTTCAGTGGAAATCACTTAACGTACCTCGTTTCTTGCAGCGGGGCAGGCGAGGAGACGTTTAGAGTGGGAGCAAAATCCTCCTTTTTAATAAGTTACATAATCATGAGGAAAGTGATGGGGAGTGTCTTTGAAGCCAAGTTTCCACCGATCGTGGGAAAGCAGTCATGTCAGGCTCGACTCACTCTAATGCCAGTAAAAGCTCACATTAGGGAGGTAATTTTTAACATTTGGCTGTGATAAATAATGTAAATTCGATCTTGTTTGGATATAATCTAATGGCTCGAAATTATGCATTAGCCCATAAATCACTGGCATGCTGCCATCCTAGACCCACTGAGCTGTGAGGGACTCTCTTGTTAATGCATTACTTTCAGACTGTGGAGCTGTCTACAGGCTTATTTCCAGTGTCATCACTTGTGACTGGTGGAGCTGAACACAGGCTTTTGGCACCCTTTCCCACACTGTAACTGTGATGTGGCATTAACCTACTGTAGTCAAGGGAAAGCGACAAAACTGGCTTCAGGCATTAGGGTTCAAGCATCATATTGAGTATTGCATGAGAAATTACTGAGAAATGGGTCAACCCACAAAAAACCCGGGATCAAACACTTCCCATAATACCACTTGTCATTTTCCAAGACATGACAAAACTCCCCCGGGGCTATAGAAGAAATGATACAACTGCTTTCAGAGGCTGAGTATTACTCCCTGTGACAAGCAGATTGACTTTGACTTGTAATATGTGTGGAATATCCCTTTAAGTGTGTATATCAGTGTTTGTTTTATACCTGTGAAAGCATGGGGATGCAGCCGGGAGGTCTGCTTTGCTTCCGCCCGACTCCTTCTAGTCTCTTTGTTGTCTTGGTCATCATCTTTGGTGTGGACAGCCACTATCTCACACACTTGCAGAGCATGGATGTGTGCTGAAGAGACAGAAAAAAAAAATATATTCAACTGCTTGATGCCCAACAAAATGTCTTATAATATATCGCTATTTGTCGTATTTGCAAACTATCATTCAGATTTTTCAATACCATTAAAGCTGCAGAAATCGATATTTTTACATCAACAATGGGTCACAAAATTGTGTGTAGCCCAAAGTAAAACCACAAAGAATAATCGCCCAACTCTGCAGTTCCCCGCAGCTTTACGGAGCTTGTTTCAGATCATTGTTTTGGTTTTATGCCCCACAAATGTTTATCGTTTTGGTTCAGTCTCACTCAACTCGCCGGCCTGATTTCCAGATGTAGGAGGCAGCTGCTTTAGTGAAAAAGTTCCAATAAACCCACTATATGATTTCTAAGACACAGAAAAAGTCAGAAAATAGCTGATAAAGTTGAATATTCAGCTGATGAGCCAGCTGGTGGAGACCAAAAAGTGAGACTAAATATTGGACTTACATTCATCAGATAAATACTAATATGCTTTGTAAATGCTGGATGTGTAACTAAGCAAGTAAGGAAATAAAAGAAGAGAAAGATCTGGTTTCCCCTTTAAAATTATGCCCGCTTTGTCTCTTTGGTTACAAAATATGACTTTAGAATAGCAGCCTGGCATTCATTTCACAAACAGTCAAATGAGTGGGAGCGTAACATATACATATCCCAAGGGAGGAGGTGGGTGTTTGGGAAGAAACTGCATCTTTTTGTTCTTTTTTCGCCCCATGGGAACAGGATTTAGGCTGCTAGTTTAAAATTACTTAGATGAAACCCTTGCATGCATTGTTCTATCTCAGAGTTTATCGGGTATGGCTCGATGTGGTACCTGCTGGCAGTGAAGAGATGGGTGGGTCAGTTGCCCTAAAAATCTGCCTAAAAAGGATTTAATAGGTATTAATTTACTGTGTTTGAAAGGTAGTTATTGGGAAAAGAAAGGGGATTGTTGAGAAATGGTTCCCTTTCACATCAATAATTGTAATTGAGGTGTTAGTGGGAAAAATAGTGGTCAAGGGAAATCCAGATGAAGGCAATACATTATTTTAAGAATCACTAACGACCCATCACATGGATGTAAAATGGTGGAAATCAATGCAAGGAATGTGAAGAATGCATATTCTGAACTGGATCTCACAATTTGACTTTCCCTTGTGAACCATTTTTATTTGTTTACATTACATGTCATTTGTTAGACGCTTTTATCCAAAGCGACTTACATACATTCAGTACTGTGGAAAATCCCCACAGGAGCAATTTGGGGTGAAGTGTCTTACCCATCAGGGACACAACGACATGCTGACTGCAGTGGGACTCAAACTTGCTATCCAGCACACTATCCACTGAGCTACAGCCTCCCCATTTTTAAATCCAGATATCAATACATCTATACTAGAAAATGACAGTATTACTTGTGATGAGTTTAACTGACCTCTTCAACTGCATCACATACTGTACAGGCATTACCTCCCACAAATGTATTCAGCTGATATGGGGGAATGGATGGGAGGGAGCCATGACATATTATTTCTTTCCTGGGGGAATAGGATTTAATTTCTCTCTCAAATAAAGATGATGTGCCATGCAGGCATGAATAACTTTATGGCCATCAATATTCACACTTAGGAAGAGTTATGGCCGTACGGGTAATAGCTTTATTTCAGAAGAAATGAGAACGAGGAGTTTTATTCCAGTTGCAGTGACTGACATGACTGAGACACTTTTACTTTTACCACCTCCATTGGACTCCTTTGTTTACTTTAACATATATACATCACTATATGACACTCTTTCTTCTATTGGTTAACGTTCTAACACATTGTACATGATAGGCGTACAATGTCGACAGGCGGGACATCTATAAGCAGATGACCAATCACAACAGAGCCGGCCAGCTAACCAATCAGAGCAGACTGGGCTCTGGTTTCAGACAGAGGGAGCAAAGAGTGTGCGAGGCAGTGTGTGAAAAATGAAGACCTTTTTGAACACTAAAGCATGAAAACATGTCACAGTAGAGACACAAAATACAAATATCTCCCTGAAAATGAGCAGAGTAGGTCCTCTTTTTCTCTTCTCCTTGGGTAGCCTTCTATAAGCCCTTTTCACAACAGATATTTTGACTTTTCATATTAGAAAAACAAGTGGGATACTAATGACAGAAGTGTCACAGTAAGCCATGTCAGTGGGACAATGAGTCAGCATGCACAATAGCAGGACCCTTAGAATGAAGTGGCTTAATGGAAGTCAAACACCATCATTTGCTTTTTTTCGACAGCTACTTGAAAAATAAAAATGTCTTCTGTTATAAAGTCATATAATGTCTCATTATTGACAATGGGATTAAGGTGTACTGTATATGTGACACTACGTCTTACAAAACTGATTATTTTTAATGTCTAGACATCTCCCAACACGGGCCTGAGAATCTGGAAAGAAAAATGCATCAGTGCGATAGTCGAGGTAACTTTTACTTTTGTTTTTGTTGTGCAAATGGTTTGACTTATCATTGAGATGTGCTGATGCCAAAAATCATTCCATGCAAGGGTGCGCATTTAAGAAAAGCTGATTTTCTTTGGTTAAAAATACTGCACATCAGGGATGAACCAATGATTTTTTAAATTTATATTTGAGATAATTCAACATGAAATCATTTTTGCTGTTTGTTTGATATCCAAGCACCAAACCTGTACCGGGTTTCTGCAAAACCATTCAGTGGAATACATTAGAATATGATATCTCCTGTCTTACATTTTTGTTACTTTAAGCTCCCTTGGCTTAAGGTGAAAGGAAAAATGCATGAACTCTTTTCTGTGTTGGCCTGCTGGGCAAAGCAACTTCTGTCAAAGAAACAAGCTAACATTCATCATTGAGTCAGAACAGGTGGGGTCTCTCTCTCTCTGTCTCTCTGTCTCTCTGTCTCTCTCTCTCTGTCTCTCTGTCTCTCTGTCTCTCTCTCTCTCTCTCTCTCTCTGTCTCTCTGTCTCTCTGTCTGTGTGTGTGTGTCTCTCTCAACAATCCCAGTGAACTGTGTTAGGGAAGGAACTGGAAACAATAGCTGACATTCCCACTTTCTAACACTGCTCCAGTAACCCTGCCACACACACACACGCTCAAGTACACAATAATCCCATCACCACACACACTGAACACACACCCACTCACAAATTCCCTACTTTGTAGCAGTCCCTAAACTACATGCTAAGCCCTCGGCCATACAAGGCAGATCCTCTCTGCTCTGCTCTGCTCTAACATACTTTTGCTCTTTGTGCTCGAAAAGAATCTTAGCACAGGCAGTAAGCCAGTGTATGCTTCCCATTCATACCACAGGGCTCAGAGTGTACTGTGAGGTCTGCTACCTGCAAAAACATCTGCTATTCAGGAATTGGGAGGCAGGAAAGTTTTTATTTACTAGCTCTGCACTTGGATGGGACAATGAGGTTAAAAGGACATGCCGTTACATCTCCAAGAGACAAATCACAAATACTCAGACATCAGTGCAACCTAGATATATAGCTAATATTAATATTTTCACTTCAACAATAGTCAAGGAAGTGTTGAGTGACCTGGAGCGCTACGGTTTGTGTTTGTGCTATTGACATTACAGTACAGTAGCCTACAGTAAACACTTACGGCTGCCAAGTGAAATTGATATCAATGTTTTCAAGTTAAACACTTTTAAACTATGCGAGTCATGAAAAAATAATACTTTTATCTCCTGACGTGTCAAAGGAAATGATGACTTCATGATTAATAAGATTAAAGTCCCTGAGGCATAGCAACAAAACACAAAGTTACTTCTGCTTGGGCCGTAAATATTTAGTCAAATTGACTGGAGGATTAGTCTTATATGATAGCTAGCTTTTCACCTACAGATAATACTTGTGGGGAAAATCTAACTTTAAAGCAATAGTTTAACATTTTACTTTCTTTCTTGTTGAGAAATGGTTAATAATACGTAGCTAAAGCCGGTAGCTGGTTAGCTTAGCTTATCCTAGCATAAAGTGTAGAGGGGGAAAAGCTAACTTGCACTGTCCTAAAGAAAAATCCACTGCATCTAGCCAATAAATAGTCCCGCAAATAATACCACAATGTTATTTGTTCACAACAGATTTTACCCAACAACTATGTGAAACAACCTGTGAAGTTTTAAATTCAGGCTTCAGGATCCACACATGAAAGGTTCAAGTAGACTGCCTTGGAAATAGGGCCATGTTCAAAGAGACAATAGCATGGGATGAAAACATGGAGCAGCAGAGGATGATTCCCTAACCCTGACATGAGCAACTATCAATGGGCAAGACATTGCCACATCCTGGCAGTGGCGGTGCTTCGCTCTACCCATAGTGTGAATGTAATCCCTAACTCTGGCATTGTTAGCGCCTTTCTCCAGTGAGCCAGAAACATCCAAGTCCTCGGGGTCCAGGGTGCTACTGGTTTCCATTCTAACCACATGAGATGGATTAACATCTGCACTGCTGTAATCTGCTAAAGGGCCAGAAGCAGATTTTTACACAATTGGTGAATTTGCTCTACACGTGACTTTATGCATTGGTGGCTCCAACTGAATGCGACTTCTCACGTTGCGTAGGTCTACAGATTATGACCAGTTTAACCAAGGAATTACAGTGTTATTCATACTCAGAAGCCTATAGGTTAAATGATACAGAGATTCACAAGAAAACATAATAAACTATAACAATCTAACTTAATGCTGCAAGAGATAACAAATAAAAAAATCAATGTGTCGTCTCCATTCAGTCAATGACTGTATCATCGAGCTGCCAAATATTGAAGAGCCTGCCTTTAACGCAAAGCACTATGAGAAGAACACATTTGTAAAGTTTAAAATCAGTAAAGTGGCCCTTTTTAACTACCTAAAGGGCTTAACATCAGCAGTACTCAGAGGATTGAGAGCCATTGGACTTGGCAATAATTGTTCCCTTTAACACATGAACAAAGAGGTTCTTTCAGTTAATGTAATGGGGCCAAAGAGGTCAGTTAAATGCAGCTCTTTGATTACATTGAAAACAACGTTTGCCCTTTTAATTGCTATTGTAACCCTGCCTTTATGTGTTCTAGCCAAAAGCACCACTGCTGGTGATTGAAGGTCAGTCTTCATGATGGTGGGTTAGTATATTTTTCCTGCGACCATGGATGAGGAACCTTAATTGACTTTACTTACAGTACTTTTAAGGGAAAATTCGACCTCAAAATACCATTGCCAAGTGTTGGAAATGTCTGCCTTCTCGAGAATAAGATGGCACTATGACCCGGTTTTTGTGAACAATTTCACATGGGAACCGTATCACTGCTGTGCGAAAGATAGAAATGATGAGTCAAATCACATAGGCTTATGTATTCTAGATTTTGGCTTGAACTGTCCCTTTTAATGTTTGTACCAGTTTAGTGTGAATTTAGAGACTACTTTGTAACTGTATCAACAAGTACTTGCAATTATTAAGGTGCAACCTGTGAAGACTATTGGATTGATGATCTTGCTAACCCCTAAAAATATTCGTTTCCTTAACATTGCCTTAACATAACGTCAGTAAATGCCTTTTCACACACCTGATTGCTGACTTTCTCTCATGAGCCCAAAATAAGGATGTGTATGTTGATTTGGAGGTGATCTTACAGGATTTTTAACTCAGTATATCCGATGCATTCACGTATGTGTGCTCAAGAGATTTTGTGTCTGCTTGTGTATTATGATATCTGTGACAGCGCAGTGCCTGTCCTCACCTACCTTAAATCCTCTGACAACAACAAGCTGTCAACATATTCATATTCTGCTGTTGTTCTCTGCACACCTCCCCTTACACACTGGATCAGTGTGTAATCCCTTTATTGTTACTGAGGTTTGGCATGAGCACAAGCCAGCGCCAGCTTAAGGAAATGCTTGCGTTTTTAGGTGTCCTCACACTGTGTATGCAGTTTTTTTATGTCATTTCTGTTTTTACATGTTGCATTTCAAGGGACAAGAGTGGGGGAAATATTTTTTGAGGACTGTCTATGTTGTCGGGTGATGCAACATGTTCTTCCCCCCATGCTGAATAATAGCTACAAATGGGTATGCAAGTGTTTTTCTGCAATATAATTAATTATTATTGAAAAAGATAAATGTCCTACTTTGCAAACGACAGCACTGTACTCTCATACATCCTCACCATCCAGAACATTGATTCATTGTGTAATTGGCAATACAAGTCCGACCTTTCACTCGTATTGACCCCAGCTGCAGGTAAATAAATACAATCTATTTAATGAAAGCTGCTTTATTGCTTCCAGTAATGCAGTCTAAACCACAGCGTCCCCAGTCTCCAGCTGTTGTTTTCTGGCAGTGTTTAATTCTCTGTATCTCTCTCCATTCCTCCCTCTGCAGCTGTCTCTCAATGTACAGACAGGGCTGTGCATTGAGAACCCTCTTTAGATTACAAAGCACAGATCTTCCTGCGCACACATGGCAGTGAGCTGTCAAACAAGACGTGGATTTCTCCAAGGCACAATGGGTTTGTTAAGCCAAGGCTAAGGCAAACAGATGGAAAAGAAAGGACAGCAGAGGTGTAAAAGTACAACAGGAGAGCAGTCACTAGGGGTGCAATAGTACTGCTAGATGTACATATACTTAAAGCACCGCTCAATACGTGTTGTTTCTTTCTATATGAAATGGAAAGATACTTTTTGCGACCTAAGCTTTCTGTGACAAAGATAAAACTTCAGATCAGACTGAAATATTTTAGCCAATATTGAATAAATAGTTTAAAGTTGTGCACAGACATTCATGTTTCCCTGAGGAAGAATCCTAATGACCTTTGTGATGCCCTCGCTTTTTCACCAGTGTTTGCCATAGGGTCAAAAATGTTTAATTATCCAGTTAAATATCTTAACCACTACTCAATGGATTGGCCCTAATTTATGGACATTCACGGTTCCCAGAAGATAGATCCCAGTGACTGTGGAGGCCATCTGGTTTCTCCTCTAAGACTTGTAGTTTAGAGTGAAAGCTTTTGACACTCATAGATGGATTTAACTCAAATTTGAAACAAACATGAATCTTTCCTACAGGATAAACTGTAAAAAATAAAATCACCTTTCATCTTGGCAAATCATCAGATCCCATTTTTAAATTGCATACTACTTCCCGCAAATCTATTGACATTCTCATTAGCCTCAGCTGTACTTTGTGTCAAGTGTTAATAAGCAAATGTTAGGATGTAAACATGCTAAAATCAGATGGTGATAGTGGTGATTGACATTAGTAATAATGGTGGCAATATGTTTAACAACATGATAGCATAGTCGTGTGAAATGCTAATATTAGCGTGAAGGTCAAAGTCTAACTAAAGTGTGACGGAGATACTAGCATGGCTTTAGTCTCCTTTTCCAAAATTGTAAGACTTACTGTAGTTTTATGAGCTACTGATGCACGAAATCCTATAGCTTAGTTTTGCTTCTGCAGTTTTCATAGGTGGATTTTGATATGTGACTTGGTAACAGAGGAACTCTTGTGCTGCTGATACCATATTACAGCCTATCTCGCAACGTTTCCTGTATTGCTATAAATGAATCCCAGACTGTAACACGTTGGATCTGTATCCAGCTTTGCCATATAGGAAAGGAAATATCTAAACCCCCTCTGGCAAAGGCAGATATCCAGGCTTAGAGGGCCTGAGGAAGTACTACTGGCTAAGCATAGTGATTTGCAATGGGGAGATGCTCTCTCTAGAGCATATGCAGTGATTTAGTCTAGATTTTCCTCCAAGATGGGAGCATGCATTGTATAGGAGTGACTCAGGCATAACGTGGACATAGGATTTACTCCAGTCTCAGAGGCAATGCCATCTCAGTGATTGGATTTTGTTTGTGTGTGAGAGTGAATCTGTGTGTAAACAACATTCCTGGCTAGGATACCAATGCCTCGGTAGATCTACTCAGGACATCTGATTGACAGATGCTCTGATTCGACCAAATCCACTTAAATGTCAAGAGGTAACATCCCTTAATGTTGTATAGCAAAATATGAAGGCCAGAGAGGTGCTCATATCAATTTATACTGGCATTTATGGCATTTGGGTGTCAAGTTCGATGTTATGTGGAAAGAATTGGCAGACACAAGCAAGACGAAGAGCTGTCAAATGTGAGTCACTCTGAATGTATTTCTATCAGCTAAATATATTTTAACTTAATAATCAAATCACACTTTGTCTGCTAATGGTACGGAATTATTTCTTAACTTTTTTCTTTTATATTTTATCACTTTTCTTTCATAAGTGACAAAAACTAGTACATATTACTCCTTATATTGCATTATTTATTTGCTGGTGGACTGAACCTGTGACCTAACAACCCTGAGAATTCTAGAAAAAGTGTCTCAATGTCATTTCCTTAATTGTCCAGTTGCAACATTTAGGAGTTTCAAATGTATATTAAACAAACAGTGCAAAAACTACACAGAGAGAAAAGTGTGGAAATCTAACCAACAACATTGTGAACTTTATAACAATTTGATTTCATGTTTTGGGTAGGTACATGCAAATATGTTTACTTATTGCAGTCACAAACATCTATGTCTACCATAGTCACTGATTAACTTGATTATAGTGCCTACTAATGATAACCACAACCCTACTCAAAGACTGTGTCCATAAAGATACAAATAATATGCAGCTTAAATGAGCAACCACAGTCATTTGATTACCTCTCAAAGAATGTGCCTCCATGGTGTTTGACATTGGGCTTATCCATAGCGTATCCATTACTGGCAAAGTCTCTCGTTTGATTCCTAACTCCTGCGTAAACACTTGCCACAGCTATCATTGGTGTAGCTGTGTTGAACATTGACTCAATAAATGGATGTCTTTATGGCAGGTTATTATAGGGCGCTTGATACCACTTTGAGGGAGGTCAATGGCCAGGTTTAAACTGAAGTGTGCTGTGCCAGCTGTAATAACTTCACTCTATATGGTATAGTAATTGCAGACCAGGGAACTCATCGAGATGAACAAACATTAGCCCCAGGAGGTGAAAAGGACATCTGGATTAAGTGAAATTTGTCTGATGCAAAAGATGGAATGGTACAACATTTCCAGGACGGGTTGAGAACCACAGTTACAGTATAGAGATGATTTAAGGTAAAGGCCATTACTCCAGTGCATGCTGGGACTCCAGCTCACTGCAGCTACACTAGCACTTAAGGGTGTGTAGTATTTATGTTCTTAGGAACCACTCATCTCAGACACTGATTTAATAAATCAACATACAAATGTAACAAATGTGTTGCTAGTTAAAAAATCTGCTATGTGTACATTTGTTGAAATCACCTATGAAAACAGTCACAAGCTGAAACACAACTTATTTTCCTGTTCTTTTGAATGGATGTCCTTTTATTTTTATTTTAGGTATATTATACCCCAACATGCACGGTATATGTTTAAACCACATTCTGCCTCTTTTGGCATCAACTTTAAGTGACCAAGTTAAAACAACTAATTGTTTTGGCTTGGCATTAAAAAGAGGACATTTTTAGATTTTTTAAAAGGTCACTGGGACAGAAATCCTCTTTCATCAATCTAGTTAACCATGACTAGTATTTGCTTGTAAGAAACAAGGGCCTCCTTATTATTTATGACTGAAAAACCCCCACAGAACTACAGTAGTTTCATGACCTGACTGTTGCTTCACAATAATCCTGATAAGAAAACAGCTGCTATACTTTCTTTTTGAATTGGTGACAATGTTTAACTAAGACAAATGATGTATATGCTCAGGCAAATAATTTATAGGAGGGATTGATAAACTTAAATACAACTTAACAACATTGTAAAAACATGTTTTATGGTCACTCCATTTATGTAAATATGTATCACTCACTTTTTGAACAAGATTAGATAGGCTATTTGCCATGTCAAAAATGCTTTATTGCGTTAATAATTATTACAAAGTAAACTAATTCACTTCTATGTTGTTTTTACCTGTTTCAGCCCTGTTGCTGATGCCAGAGCTTCGTTTTCGGCTCTTCTCAGTTTCCTTCCAAGCCAAAACACTGCGGTTTAAAGTAACTTCTACCTGTCTATGCTTGTGAAAAAGCTTCGAAAACAGTAGTCTGTCTTGAGTCTCCATAATATCGCTTAAACGTGTCATTAGTTACGCTATCGTCCGATGATATACCATGTTAACTTTGTTAAGCCGCTCCACAGACCGCTGCTCGGAGCCGGAAAGTGTTGAGTCAAGTGCGGTTCGGCCCGTGCTGTGATAAGAAGGGTTTTAAGAGAAAGATCGCTTATGAGCAAGATGAATCACTCGATTGCAAAAGGTGACACTGGCCTACTTTCCGTACCGCTTTCCTGGGCCATCAGGCTGATAAACAAACAGTCCAAAGTGCAATTACTCTTTTAAATACCTATCTCTTCTGTACTTTTAATGCACTTTACAGCTTTGTATGTCATTGCTCTTAATCATGTATTACCTTCTGTATGATTGTGTATGCTTGTCTGCCCTACTGGAGTGTTTTTATTGTTGTCTGTTTTCGTCACTGTCCACGGTGACAGGGAAGCCCTCAACAAATCTTGTTGTTTATTTTGTATAATAACAATAAAGGCTTTGTAAACTTTCTGACAAATATACAATAACATAATGCATGATATTGCTTGCATCTATGTAGTATGTCAGACCTGCATTATGCAACTTAAATTTGCCTTAAAGGGAAATGTGTTTGTTTTAATTTCAACCCACCTTTCATACAGATTTGCAGTGAGCAAGATTAGACAGAAATAAATAATCTGATATAGGGAGGAGCAAGAAGATTTAAAGCTTTTCAAAAGTTAATATCAAAAAAGGAAATGTTATAGGCCTATGTAAAAAAGGGAATAGAGTTTAAATGGACTCTTAATTAAAAAATTCAACAACAAATGACATTTTCATTGAGACTCCAAGTATTTTCTTTAATATTTCTCAATAACACATTGATTCCTTGATCAGCACTGCCTGATACGACTACATCTAACTTTCTGCTGTGTAATAATAGCATTGGAATTATTTACACAACTAATAAGTAAATATAGTAGGAGTTTAAGTTATTTTCTTTCCTTTTAAAAAAACAATGAAATAACACCTCCTCTTAAATTATTTAACAAAAAAAATTCTGCAGAAATTAGACCACTTTTCAACTAACCCCAACACCCCAACAGTTTAATTACAGTTTGCAGTACCGCGAAAAAGTGACAGAGTGAGAGCTCTTACATTTAATCCTGTGTGCTTCTACACTGTAGGACACTGAATCAGCACATTGCGTAAACATAAACTCTCCAAATCATGACTCAAAGCAGGAAGGTGATTTCATACTCTTCCAGGCTGAAGAGCTGATAAGAACCTTCAGACAGGGATAAGGCAAACACCAGCCTTTACACAAGTGATAGTTAAACTGTGTTGATGTGGGTTTGCCCTACACAGCAACTTTCGTATTCTATTAGCTGAGTTGGAACTGAGCTGATTATAGTTGGTCTCTCTTTTGGGTGTGTGTAATGGAGGGTGAGAGAAATTAATAAGAATGTAATTAGAGGAGTGATTGCCCAAGTAAATTGTATGCTGCTATCTGCTACTTGTATTGAATGTATAATGCATGTTTGTGTTGAGCCCAAATGTGGCCCACAGACAAATATACTGAGCCATAGTGAACGCTGGAGTCATAGTGTAGGCTTACTATAAAACGTTTACACACTTTTATCTCAAGCCTTTGATTTATACTGTACATATACAGCAGATATACATGACCTAACATCCAATACTGCCCCCATTGTTACAAGATCCCCATTCTATGAACAGGGTAGGGTGCAAGTTCAATTTTAGGATCAGTTTTAGATGATAAATAATGCAGGTATGTTAAAATATGTCCATGATAGATTCAAAATTTGATTCAACAATAAATAGCATAACAGCCCATAACAGTTAGATCCATTGATATACTTTCAGAGAAAAAAATCTAGAAACACCACAGCTTTCAAACTTGTGTGTGAATCATGATGTGTCAACACTTTATTTGGCCTATACAAACAACTGGGTAAACAATAAAAACACCAGTTTATCCTGTACATATTAACTGCAATGGAAATAGCCGTGTATAGCATTTGTATCTCCCTGCTTGTGGTCCTGATGCTGGTGGTCTCCCTTTGGATTGACACACACACGCACACGCACACACACAGATTTTGGTTCTCTCAACAGAAGAAAAGACAGATGATCACGATGACGTCGCCAGTTTCCCATGCCACCTCACAGCGGATCTCACTTATGATTGGCTCACAGGGAGGAAGTGTCGGTCCAGCCAATCGCAGCAGCGCTTGTTTGCCGATTAGGCACTATCAACATGGCAGCTTTCTGAGTTTTGGAGGAGGGTACCTGGTGTAAATAAACTAATTGCACGTCTTAGAGATAACGACAGCGTTCGTGTGTTTGTGCCTAGGACTGGTTGGGCAATAGAGGGAAAATGTCGACTGACGCAAATAAAAAACAGTTCTGGAAAAGAAACGCAGCGAAGGTTCCTGGCAGGTGAGTGACGTGTTCCCTCCTGTCGGCTAGCTTAGCCTAGCTAGCCTTACTCAACTGACGCTGCACTGTTGAGCTTAAAACGCAACTTTCACTTTCACTGACGGCCCTGCAGTACAGCACAATGTTTGCAAATATCACCTCTTGCAACGTCCCATTGTCTGTGGTAAAGTCTTACAGACACAGTTTACCCCTTCCTGCTGCTAGCTGGCTAGGAGCTAGTTTGCTAACATCGGCTAACAGTTGAGCAATTGACTCAAACCGCAGTCACATATTTGTAACTAATGATACAATAACCATTTTATATCAATGAGAAGCTATGGGCTTACAGCAATTCAAAGTCATTTTCGTTACACTTAGTTGCGGTATTATAGTATCAACTGTCATTGTTGGTAATAAGAAGCTAACATGGCTATAGCTTGACAGCCAGTTATGAATGAGCTCATTCATTTACATGCTTTCTTCTCTACTTCCTCAGCATTCAACATGTGTATGGTGCGCAACACCCACCTTTCGACCCGCTCCTTCATGCTAAGTAAGTGAAACGTACTTTGTTATTGTAGCTAAGTGCCCTGTGATGTTAGTTTGGAAAGGTGTTATACTTAAGTTTCTGTGTTGATGCTAACACTTTGCCTTTGTTGCTAAACTACTTGAAATCCTAGCTAAAGTTGACATCATTTGCTTCCGCCTTTGTATTATTTAAACAATGATATAATGTATTTTTTTTTGCATGAAACACTTTGCACGCCCTGCAGTAAACGGACACACTGTACATATTTGTTTAAGTAGTTTTATTGTTTTTTTCCTTCCATTTTTGTGTTGTGCTTTTCTATTCTATATTTATGTTCTTCACTATTTCTCTTTTTTATTTCCTCTTGTATTTATTGTAAGCATCAAATCACCAAATTCCTTGTAAACGTACTGGGCAACAAACCTCATCTGGGTTCAAATCCTCACTAAAACTGTCTTCCCTTCAGATCATTCTTCATTAATCACATGATGGTTTATGACAAACATCACATTTATTATTGCCTTTATGACCAACACTAAGGCCCCATTATAGACTGTTATACAAGACCTTTAAGGAAGCTGCTCCCTTGGTAAAAAACAGTACACATAAGCACAACACATTTTCTGCCCATTGATTTCTTATGAACTTGAAGTTCACTATACAACATTATTAGAAACATGCCTGCTGTACCAAAGACCTACAAAACCCCCATCTCATTGCTATTAAAGAGTTGGAGCAAAACACTGGGTATAATTAATAATTACGTACTGATGTAGCTTAATAATAGTAATAGCTTTTTTCCTCATTGAGTTGCAAGCTATTATTCTAAGTTGCCTTCATGGTAGGCAGTGATGCTGTGCACATCTTGGGCTTTTATTTTGAAAGAGAACATGGGACCACTGGTAGACTGAACTGCATCCTGTAGGAAGTGAAGCAACACTTATAGGGAACCAAGATAAAAGCCTATGAGGTCATTTCTCTACAGGCATCTCATTGTGCAATCAACATATACTTCATACAAATGTTGAGTGAAAATAACAATGAAAAAAAGAGTTTTCTATGGATACCAATCAACACAACAAGCTGTATAGCTTAGCTACCTAGCCACTCACAGAAAATAGGAAAAGGCTGAGTCATGATTGTTACTGTTAAACATGTCATACTGTCATAAATTCAAATAAGGATTGTGGGGGTGTTTGTTTTGTAATTTGACAGCTGACAAAGAAAGCAGCTATGAAAACATGAACTGGAGCCGAGCAATAATTCCATGCACATGTTCAAATGTGTAACACATATATAAATCGGGTCTTGCAATATAATTCGAGTGATCTATCACATAAACACTGACACAGATAGCAAAACATCCTCTTATTCTGTTAAAATAAATGTACTTCTTCTGACTGATGTTTGATCATGTAGTTTGAATTCAATATGCTTAAAATGTCAGACTGATATATATGATATATGCTTTTTATTAATCCCCGTGGGGAAATTGTTTCTCTGCATTTGACCCATCCTAGTGTTAGGAGCAGTGGGCTGCCATTTTGAACAGCGCCCGGGGAGCAGTGTAGGGAACGGTGCCTTGCTCAGGGACACCTCGGTAGCACTTGGTCTTGAACTGGTGACCTTCCAGTTGCCAAGCCAAGCCCCTATCAACTTCACCGCCTTGACTTTCTTTCAAATGATGACGGAAGAAAGCTATACTAGACAAGTCTTTCTATATAAATGGTTCACCATGTCTTTGAAAGAAATCACAGTCCCCATTTCCCTCTCCAGTCTTTTTTGTTCAACATCACATGATAAGAAAAGTTTGAGTTGAATTGAATTCTCTTTTATTTGTTGCATATCTTGTTCCAGACTGAATTAAATGCTGCTCTTGAAGCACAAAGACAGCAACTCAGTGAATGTTGTCTTTTGAACCACATTGATTCTTAGGTGTTGGAGGTGCTTTTTATTCTAGTTTTTAATATTAATATTGTGTAAATAGAGGTGGTGACAGACTCACTTCATTGTGAGTGTTCTAGGTTTTCCTGATAATTATTTCAAATGCCATTGTGTGTTTTGTGTCAAAAATAATTAACTTCTCATATCTCTTTTCCCCCCCCACTTATCTCCCTCCTTTTCCTTCCACTTACTGCCTCTTTGCCACCTCTGTTTCCTTTCTTACACCCTTTCCCTCAATTTCTTTAATCTTATTCTCCGACCCTTATCTTCTCTCTTTTCAATGCCCTGTATCTGCCGTGCAGCCTGATTAAAGCTGGCAACAAGCCCCCTCCGGCCACGCCAGGCAAACCCAAGAAGGCTACCACGTTCCAGGAGTTTGAGAGCATCACAAGCGACGCCTGGGATGTCGGGGATGATGATGACGAGTTGCTGGCCATGGCTGCACAGAACCTTAATATTGAGGTTGTCATGGAGACAGCCAATAAGGTGAACAACTAGATGAAATCCTCTCAAAAATGTGTTTTTCTTATGTTTGTATCCTCAAAATTCTCAGACCTTGACTATACTGACTTGTGTCCGTGCACAGTTTGTATCTAGAGGGGTGTTTTCACATTCCTTTGATGAAGGCAGAGATGTGTGTGCTCTTTCAAATGTACCCCAGGTAAACTAAATTAGCTATGTCATGAATACGATACAGTGAAGTTCAGTCGAGGACGCAGGGAGACGGCCTTAAAAACACCTCGAACACACGGTGAACTTATTATAGAGCAGGGGTCTCCAACACGTCGAGCGGCGAGCTACTGAAAAGCTGCCCGCGAGCTACCGGTAGCTCGCGGGCAGCTTTTCAGTAGCTCGCCGCTTGATTATCGATTATAGCGTAGTAAGGTTGCTTCTTGATTTTTCGGCCGCGGCTGGACAATAAAGTCTTTTTATTTTAGAATTGTTTCTGTCACACGAAAATAAAATTGGTCGGTGACGCAGTGATCAAGGAACAGACGTGACAGCGGCACAGCGACACCACACACGGAGCAGTCTGCTTTCTCCAGCAACACCAGTCCTGAACCAACAGCAGAACCCGCTCTGAATCAGGCCCTGTCGCTGCGGCTCAGAGACACAGGGAGGGATTTGTGTTTTTGAAAAACACTCGTTATCGTCATGTCATGTTTTTGGTGGATTTAATCAAGTCTTGGATTGCAGAGTATGAATGTCCTCTTGCTATTTTCAGTTGATAAATACTTGTGTAAAGTTTGTGAAGGCAGGAGGAAAGCTTCCGCGATCACCGTCTCCTCCGTTCCGCAAAACCCCTCCCCCTCCTGAAAAATAATGAGTGACAGGCTGATAGTGACCCGATAGAACCTTTATTATTCACTTAATCACTGATTGAGATATGATGAAGCTAACTTAATCTCATACATTCATGGGATTTATGCAACAGTAAGACAGAGAATAAGTGTGCACCCACATGCACTACTTTTGTTTTTATAATGCTGCTGTAAATACTCCTGTTGGCTGCTGTGTTCAGACTTAAGTCATGTGTGTGATGCCACATTCAAGACATTCAGTGTCCTTTTTTAAACAGAAGACCGTAGCTAGAAGCTGCAGCTAGACTGCAGAAGTATTAGTTTTTTGTTTTTGAGGATGGAACAATTTCACACACAGATATAGGGAGGCTAGACCTATACAATTGATTTATTATGGTTTATAATTTCATGTCAACACGAAGAAGAAAAAAAAGATGGCTGAACTGTTCAGTGTCAATCCTGTGGAGATCTCCAAAATAATGTTCAGCTTAAGTCTCAGCAAAACTCACAACATTTCTGGAGCCTTGTAGACCCAGAAAACTATAAGAACATTCACCAAGCAGCACTGAACATGTCTGCTTTATTTGGCTCTACAGGCCTTTGTGAAGCAGCTTTTTCTGACATGAATTAAATCTAAATACAGAACAAGACTGACTGATGAACATTTAAATGACTCTATTAGAGTGAACCTAAGTGGGTCCAGCATACACCTGTATGGTAGACTCCATGCAGTGCCATTCATCTCACTAACTGTAAAAAAGAGTGAATGCACTTATTTTATACATGTGCCATAAGATGTTTGTACGGTGGTGATTAAGGTGATGTATTTACTATGTGGGCCATAATAAGAAGTGAAAACATTTTCTTTTTTTCTTGGACATGTATGTGAATCTTCAGTGATTACTATGTGGGCCATAATAATATGTGAGACATTTTCGTTTTCTTGGACCTTGATGTGAAGTTAAGATTTTTGATAAGCTTTGGGTATTGATTTCACACGTGTACAAAAGTAGTTTAATTCAACTGATGAGTGCTATGTGAATACATGGAAGTGATGCGATGCAAGTAGCTCTTGGCCACTTTCATTTTTTCAAAGTAGCTCTCAGTTGGAGACCCCTGTCATAGAGAGTGGGAGTCAGGTGTAACGTAGTGAATGTTTTGACAGAAAAAAAGGGAATTTGCAATTTTTGGGATGTAAACCAAGTTTATTGTATGTTTTAGAAAAGTAACGCTGTGTCAGCCCCTTTTATATATACAGTCTATGGTCAGCCCCTGCCGGTTACAAGCTAACAAGCTAACAAACAAAATAAACAAATAAGTGATGCTCAATACATTTACCATTCCGTTACATTCGCTAATTCCCAATTTCTTGGTAAAAAAGAAAACTCAAACATGTCTGATTCTTGCTTTTTTTTTACGGAGAAAATATACAAGGCACCGAAATGTATCCCTGCGGAGCTCCGCATTTCTAATTTAGGGAAAATGGGTAGTTTGGAGAAAGGGGTTTACAGTACTACAATACATTTAAGATTGCGTTTATTTTAAAGTTGTTTTTCTACTTAAGATAGGGCAGTTAAACAATGGCTCACACAATATATCTGGATCTGATCTGGATAAGAACGTCACCTTTGACCCGCTGATCATAAATAATTATGACATTTACAGAATCTCAAATTGCTAATTTATTTAACCGATTACAGAGCACTTCACACTTTTGTTATATTTTATACAGAGTTTCCCTAGTTCTGACTCCAGTGATACATTTCTGTTTTCCATCAACTGAACAGGTCATCGAGAATCACAGCAAACAGCAAGAAAGACAGAGGCAGGATGACGAGACAGAGCTAGAACAAAGAGAAGAGGACCCACAGGAGGATGTGGCAGAGGACGAGGAGGAGGACGAAGAAGAGGAGGAGGACAGCCGGGTGGGGGAAGGAGACGTGACCAGCCCAGAGGTCTCGTTTGCCTCCCAGAGCAGCCCTTACACTGATGGCCGCCTTGTAAAGTCCCAAAGCGAAGCTCCAATTGGGTCACCTAAAGGTTAGTGAGCACCATTTCTCAGTGTCCAAAAAGTTTTCTGGCTCACCTGCACACTAAAAGCCACACTGCTTTTACTTTTGGAGCACATTCTTAAACCCCATTTAAAACAGAAAAATCGTTTTCAGCATGTTTTCAAGAGTCTACATTTGAGTTTGGTTATTAATCTTTTATGTGTCTGTACGATAAAAGTAGATTTATTTTATTTTAATCTAACTATAAATAGGATGTTTGCCAATGTGTCCTGTGACATACAGTAAGGGCTGAATGTGGTGGGAATGCCACCATATCATCATGGAATTAATTGAAAATATTTTATATTCTTTCTAATGATTTTAGCGATTACTGATTTTGTGTATTTATTTGACTGTGGTCTCGACGCTGCTTTGTGTCGACTCAACACATTCAAACGGTATCAAGTTTCAACAGGAATGTTCTGTATTCAAAAGGCAAAAAAGATAAATGAGCAGAACATATTTGACAGATGTAATCACTCTGTACAACAGGGTGACTGATACTGCCACTGCTGTGCTTTAAATATATTATGTTAATGATAATGGGAAGTGATGCAAATGATAGTTATTTTGAATACTGAGGTTCCTTATGTCATGTCAGCCTACATTGTCATTCTCTGCCATAATCAAAATACAAACAAAGCAAAGGAGGGAATACGCACGAGCAGTTTTTCATAATGATCCTTGAGGCGTCTGGTCCTGCCCTTCCCCCCACATTCTTCTACTTTTAAACCACAGCTTCCTAGTTCAAAGACAAGTGATGATATTCTAAGAAAAATACTGAAATTAAGATATTTTCTAAGAGTTTACCGTCATCACTCTACCCTTATCCTATATGTTATTGTTATTATCCTACGCATGCCTAAGCAACCCAATCCCAACAGTTGGGAGAAACAATAAGAACTTTTAAGAATCTGTAAGTGGAGATTTCTTAATTACCAACACGGTAAATCAACATAATCAAATAAATACAAGTATTTATGTTTTTAAACATTTTGTTGGGTACATTACATGAATTAAAGGTCGATTACACACATTATTGTTCATTATTACTTATTACATTGAAATGTCTATGATTAGGCCTTTTGATTTCACAGTTCATTCTATGCCTCTTATCAGTTTAATGAACAAATCACAGCTCTCTAAAAGAATGTGTCATACCTAGCAACAGGTTCAACAACACCTTCTCAATAATGTACAAGTTTCTATCTCTTCCTCGCTCCAAATAACTCCTAATCTAGGACTTCTTAGTAAATGTATTACAATTAAGTTAAAAGCTCTCTGCTAGTATTTTCGGCCCCAGATGACAGCAGACAGAGACACCTTTCTCTTCCTCTCCTCTTCAGTTTGGGTCTGTTTTCCCTAAGCACCTTATTTTAACCCTGTACTACACAACAGCTGCTCTGTGGCTTTACTCCTGAAACCTTAGTGTGTGCACAGCAGCACTGTAAAGCAATAACAAATCCACATGTTAAACTATTTAATCTGTGTAAAACTATGAAGAAATGTTGCTTTATAGATTATAACACTACATAGCAGCAGACGCCTTACACGGTGACCGTCTGACTGTTGTCTTGTCTGGCAGGTCATCTCCCTGGGTGCCATTCTGTCTATCGCTGTTTTTAGATACAGATAACACACAGAGCCAATTGCCTTCAGGCATCTCTTCTTATCTCCTCAGAGAAGACACATACGCTTACATGGGAATATGCAAGACGTCATCTTTCTGCACCTCTATGAGCATATTACACAAACACTAAAGTTTAATGCATGCACTCGATGTTCTTGGCAGGTAGGGTAATCAACTTGACGCCCACAGTTACAGTAAACTTGCTTTGCTGTGTCTCATTTCTTTGTAGATTTGATTTTCCTCCTCCTCCTGGTCCTTTTTTCTTCTCCTATTGTGTGTGAAGGATGACAGCAAGGAACACACATGCCCCGGTCTAATTAGATAATGGCAGACAGCATAGCTTTCATTAGTGAGGCCCAGACTCTCCCCATATACTTCTACACGATGCACTCATACATAACGCCTCGCAGGTTAGAGAGCGTGGCACGCACACGCACGCACGCACACACACTCGCTGGTGGTTATTAGGACCGCTGAAACTCCTGGTGTCATGTGACATATCTAAACAAGATACACACTGCATGTTGTCATCTTTCCTTCCTTACTTGTAATAAATGATGCTATTTACTTTGATTAATAGGTGAAAACTACTGACATTATCTAACTTGTCTTGATTACCCTATTAAAAGTTATTAAATGGACTATAATATAGGCCTTTCGTGAAAAATGCACAAAAGGTTTCAATGCAAAAAAAGCGTCTGCATGCTTTGATAATCGTATTGAATTGGTGTAAGTGCATATGAAGCAGATTGAGAACGTGTTTGTAGATTTGTATTTGCTCTTGTTAAAAGGGTATACAAATCGGAAGCATTCCAGTTTTCTTAATTGCCGAACACAGTCAATATTTAGGGTTTGATCGAGCCCTGAGAAATGTTGGCAGTGCTGTTCACAGGAGTGTTTATGAACTCTTGCTTAGTGCCTAGCGTGACAGAAGGAGCATCCCCCTCCACATTGAAGTCCCGACCCCACCAGCTTGTTCATAACTTGTTCTGTGTGCTGCCACTGTTTAGCTCGTTCTCATTCTGTCTTCTTTTGGCACATCTGGGGGAACATGTGGCGGTGGCAGACTGAATTAATATGGCTGTCTCGCCGATATAAAGGCTTCGCAGTTGAAACGCATATTTTGTTGCAAACGTAAGTGCTACCGTCCTGGAAGCTCATTGCAAAACAAGACACTAACAGCAACTGCTTTCATCACCACCTAGCTAGGAACCATAACAACTGCATTTGTTACTATGGCATGATGGAATTCATAGTCAACATTTCTATTATTAAGTTATTTAATTAAAACGGATTCAGATTTTAGCTCGAAATATATCCTTCCTCTCAGAATTAATTATAATGCCTTTACATACCTCTTAACTTTTGATTAAGTCATCTGCTCAGAAGTCAAGTTTGTTTATGACCAAACATTCACAAAACTGATATTTCCATCAACCTCAGTTGTACTCCTGGTGGCTAACGAAGCCTCATCACACACTGAACTCTAATGTTTAACATGGTAAAGAATGAACTAGCTTACCATGAGCATGTTAGCATTGTCGTTGTGAGCATGTTAGCTAGTGATGTATGTGAAATTGGAGTAGCTGAACAGTCATTTTGAAGCTGCCATTTCTAACTTTAAAACGTACAAGCAGATACAATGCAAACAGAAAATCCCCGGGCTCCAACATTACATTTTTCAGTTGTATTTACAGATAGTCTCAAGCTTTAGGCCTTCAACCTGACCCCAAGATCCTTTGCAGCATCATCTGAAAGCCCTCTATTTGTTGAGTGTTGGTGTGTGTAACCCTTCGCCCTCTCTCGCCTCTTTATCCTCCCTCCAGATGCAGCAGGTGAGCATGCATCACTCCACAGACAGCGGTCTCTGCCCCACCGGCCACCCACCATCCCACTGGTGGCTCGCATAGCTGACCAGAACACATCCGGCACCCCGATCATGACCGAGAGGGAAGCGTCCCGTCTGGATAAGTTCAAACAGTTGCTGGCGGGGCCAAACACAGATCTGGGTACGTGATATTTCCTCGTCTCGCTCTACATTTGATCTTTTTCTTTTTGGTACCGAAGCTCTTTTCCTTGCACCCTTTTGCTCCTCACTCTTAGTTTACTCGCTCTCGGTCTGCCAGCTGTGCCGCGCTTTTAATGATGATGTGAGGGGGAAAGTCATCCAGCCATCTGGACACGCAGATGACAAGGGGAAGAAATACCACCAACAACAAAAGCAAATGACAGGCCTTTGTTCTAACCGAACGACAGGCCTTTTATTGTTTATCCAACACCAGAGACTTTGCTCCCACTGCCATCCCAGTGGCCATGAAATCCTCGCAGACCTCCCTCTTCACAGCCGACTTTGTGTCCTCTGAAACTAACTTTTGGCAACCGCTAGGCTAACTCGGTGCATCAATCTCATAGTTTCAGAAGATTAACGACGTCAAAGTGGCTATCGGAAGAGTGTGCGAAATGAACCTGTCTGAAGCTACATGGTAACGTTAAGATCCAGCCAGAGAGAGATCCATCATTTACAAACACAATGTTGTGTAATGGAAACGCTTAGGCCTGCTGTTCAAAGGCAGTAGCTTCCTGAATCGCGAGAGTCTTTTTTTTTACATCATTTAAAAAAGGTAAGGCTGCATAGAATGAAGGTCACAAAGTAATGATTGCTGAAGCAGAAAGATTATCAAATGCCAATCCCATAGGTCAACCGCTGTAAAAACAAAATGCATTTAAATAGTGATCACTGAAATATTGGGTTTTTCACAGTTTTTTTTAGACATAATAATCATATTAAAGGTGGGGTAGGTCATTTTGGGGAAACCATTTCGAGTGCACTAGAATTTGAAAATACACAGCCGGCCACTTCCTTACAGAGCCCCTCCTCCAACACACACGAGCGCGCACATGACCAATGAGGGCACGAGATCAGTTTGTGCACAGATGGAAGGCTGACAGGCAGGTAGGCCATCCAGTTACTTTAGCCGGGCCGGCTCAGGTGATTGGTCGTGCTTTTTACAGCGCCACGGCTTCCACAGATGACATTTCTTTATGGATTTATTGTCAAAGCACTTAAGATATTCATTGCTATCGGGATGTTAAGAGCATTCCATGGAATATAACAAAAAGTGTATCTCGAGCCGGTTTCTCAAACGTACCTACCCCACCTTTAATCAAATTATGATATATATACATATTTTTTAATTATATATAATTATGAAAAATACTGTAATAAATAGATTTAAATAATAATACAAAACTTTAAATATTTTGTTCTATGAGCTAAACACTACATATCATCATAATAAATCTGATGTGATGCCATACCAGTCAAAGTCCTAGGCATAAGCGATAAAAAAAATGTCGATTTTTGTTAGACTTTATGCTCTCAATATGGCTGTAAATACCAGATATTCGATCGTAAAAAGCAACTACCTGACATGATATCTGATATTTGCAAAGGGCAAGCACATGCTGCCTAATTTAAACCAAGCATAACTTGTATCTTACTAAATGAGGGGCCAGAATTATGAGGATATAGAATCTGTGTATTTTGTGAAAAGAAAAACGTTGCTAAAGTTGTGGAAGCACTGTGACTGACTCATGAACTTTAGTTGTGTGGAGAGCAAGATCAATTTAAAAAGCCTATTTAAGTTCAGATATGTTCCGTGTTAAGATAAAAAAAAACACATTTAAGGATGCGGTTGCATTTAGAATTGCTGCATCGTGTCTGTGTGCCTGACAGAAGGGGAGCATGAAGTCAGTCTGGAGGAGAGAATTATAAAAGTGCAGTGCTTAGCAAGAGAATGGGTTATGCGCCTGTCTAAATACCCTAAATATGCTAAATACAAAAGGAGTGTGTCGGAGTTCTTTCAGCGCAGAAATGACACAGTTTAAATACCGTTGCTTCCATTCTCAATTAGTGGCTGTGGTCCTAATTTACCACAGCGGAAAAGGCTACCAGGCATTCATTGGAGACAGGCTATTATTAGAGATGAGCCTTTTGTTTAGATTTTCTGGTTTGAGTGTATTTGAGTTATAATCTTCTCTGCTGTTAGCTGTTAATAGACTTCCTCCTCTGTCTCATTCAGTGATTCAGAAGACATAGTCCTGTGACTGTAAGGCTTTATCTTAACAACAGTTCAGTGTAGACAGACTGATACTAGATCTTTCTTACAGATAACAATATTAATATTTAAGTTTAAAATGTTTGATTTATTAGATGATTATGTTATTTTTTTACATTTGGTTATTAAAGAATGAACTTGCCATTCCTGTGCTGACCTTTCTTGAAAATGTTCTGCTGACATAATTTGTTTGCTGCTAGAGAGCACAGACCCCCGGTACAAAGCAGTTTCTATAAGTGAAAAATATTGCGTTTATTCTCCCCGTTATGCAGATCTACTCCAAAATGTAATCGTTTTATTTTTAAAAGGCTTTAATTTGCAAAAAGTGTCAATTCCCTTGAATTCTCTGTATTTAAACTGGGGCTGTCAATCAATGAAAAATATTTAAATCGCAATTAATCACATGATTTCCATGGTTAACTCGCGATTAATAAAGAATGGCACAATTTCTATCTGTTGTAAATGTTCCAGCAGCAGTAAAGTAATTAGAGTTAGCTCCACCTTTACCAGCTGTGATGAACACATGCATCAATAGTCATAATGCATCATTTCATATATCAATTGTCCATGCGTGGTCTGCCTTTAGTGAGGGGGGGGGAAGCTATCTGCAGCAGCTGTATGCTCGGCCAGCAAGTGGTGTTTAAGACTCGACGTACTCCGGTGGAAACTGGATTCACACCGTCGGTAAATATAACTGTGGTGTTGTGGAGAACCATCTGGCGGTGCTTTGAAGCCGAACTGTTCTGTCTGCGTTTGAGGCTCACTATCCACGATGTTACTGCGGCTGTTTCTCAAACTACGGAGCAGGCCGAGGGTCAGAAAGAATGCGCGCATTAATCGCAGTTAAATAAAGTTGCATTATTAACCCGTTTGACACCCCGTAAAGGACACCGATCATGCTATATTTGAACAATATATTGTAGGGCCATACCTATATAAATATAATTTTTTTTTTTTCAAAATACCAAACAGATCCTGCATTTTAGCCATGCCTCATTTCGCTCTATTTGCTCTTTCCAGCGCTGTTTTTGCAGGGGGCTGATTCTGTGAGCTGCAGCTGACCACGCCCCCCTGCAGGAGAGGGGAGCGTGCTCTGAGATCAGCTGCTGGGCTGCAGCGGGGAGAAGAGGGGGAGAAAAAGAGATCTCCGTCCTCCGTGTTTTATTCTTATAGAAGTAAGAAGAGAAGTAACGGGTAGAACCCTCCTTTTTACGCAGCGGTCCAGACATAGACATCAAACGGCGACACATATTCAGTTGCCAGTTACTTTAGCATTAGAACAGGGATATCTAGATACTTTCCAAGGTTTGACATAATGAATTGTGCTACTTTTAAAGCAAGCAACGATGTTTTCAAATCTGTATTCAAAAAGCTCCTCAAAAACACTATCGAAGCAGTTCCTGCCGTTGCTACGTTAGTTCAAACAGTAACAACGGACTATTTTTCTTAGCGGATGCATGTCAATTTAAATCAACCCATACAACTATTTTTTAAATCAATACAATCATTTTCTAAATCCATAAAAGCATTTCAATTAAAATTGGGAGTCATGTTGTTACTTTGTTGAGAATGTGGCCATGTGTAATAAGTGGGATAATGTGCACATTGCATAATGTCGATCTAGATCCCTCCGCTTCGCGTCGGGCTCCATGACCGCGTCGCTGCACATTATCCCTTACATATGATTATATAGAGTCAGTCATTATCCATTTGTTTAAAGCAGAAGGCGCAAACTCTTGCCTCGGGGAGGGAGAAAAAGAGCCACAGCGGAGAATAAACACAAGGGCAACCATGGCAACCATGCAAGGGAAGTCTTCTTCGCTGCTTTTGTGGCAGACTACAGCGCCACTTACAGGCCTGGCATATGTACTACAGCGTCTCCAGCGCTTTCGAGCAGCAATGGCCGGCCGTGGCCCAACCTCTCATTCCCCTGATAGGTGGAGAATTGACCAATAGCCGTAGCGCCACCTTCCTGACGTCAGGACAGTGTTCAAATCTGGATCAGTCTGGATCAGATCTGTTGCAGCCCCTTTTTAGAGATTTGGGTATGGAGGAAAATAGAGAGGGTTGTGTTTCTGACACTTGGTGAGTTCCCTGGAACACCGGGGACACATATTCATGTATAAAAGACGTACAAAGGTGCATTTTGCATGATAGGTCCCCTTTAATTAAACAGAGATATTCCTCAGTGCATGTCGTTAGTTAAACTGCATCAGCAAAGCATATTCGGTCAAAAGACGTGGCGTTGGTTCACAACTCCAATACAAGTGTGTGTGTTTGTACCCCTTGTTGCCAGTTTGTAAATGACACACACACACACACACACACACACACACACACACACACACACACACACACACACACACACACACACACAATGAGCATTGGCTAAGCGCCTAAAATGTAAATGCTGCATTATTAAGTTTAAATGGCCTTAGTCAGCACAGTGCTTCACGTCCAAGCACGATCCCCTTGAACACTTTTTGTACAAAACAAACAGTTTCACACGACGTCAGCGTTAGTCAACGGTGGTCGCGAGTGAAGCCTGTACATCAGCAGAGTGTCTCGAGGTGTCAGCCCCCATTACGACCCGCCAGGCATCACAAGCCGGCTGTCTACATTTAGTTTAGTCTCCGCGCCATGATTAGATAGCCCAGAACGGGGCGAGCCACGCTGCTGGCAGCATGAAAGATGAACTTCATTCATGGGACATAATTAAGCAAAGGCTTGGGGAGGGGGGGTGATAGGGGATTGGGAAGGGAGCGAGATAGGGGTAGATAAGATAAGATGAAACTTTAATGATCCCCAGGGGGAAATTGGGCCATGGCAGCAGCAAAGAAGGGGATAAAGATGAGAATACAAAAAAAATGGCGACCATTAGAGCGAACTGT